TACTTATCTATATTTGTATGGTTATCATTTCCAAACATCTAAAAATAAATCATCCATTAAAACATCAGCACTGTGGACTTGATTTTTTAATCGTTTTAAAAGTAATATATTTCAGTGAACAAAGATAAGATCGAGTTTCAGTAAGCATGACCATTATATTTTCAATGGCAGATAATTCGTGTTCATTTAAACTCGTTTTAATTGAGCAACCCCGTGTCCCTTTCCATAATTATGTCATTAAAGTTGAAAAGAATAAATCAAAAACGATTAAATGTAATTAAAATGTATCTCAAAACATATGAGCTAATGTTTCACACAAGTGACTTCCTGTAGTTAACGTTTTAATGTCGAATATAAAATGTAATTAATTTCATAATATATTTCCTACACAGATTTTTTCTGTGTAAGAGGAAGTTTCAAAAGCATCAAAGAAAATAATCATCGGACTTCTTAAATTGTTTTTGAAATAGAACGATGCCTGATTAACAATATTTTAAGAGCAATATTTTATCAACATTAACGTAGATGATGCTCCTATATATATTTCACTGTGTCGATAATCATATCGACCCTAAAGAGGCAAGTAATGTTCCCAGGAAAATTAATCGCTGCATCTAACGACGCAAGTTATATTTCGAGTTAAATCATTGCTGTCAAGATATAAAATGATGATTTAATTCAATTCTTGTATAAAAATTGTTCAATTTGAAAGTGTTCACCTGCTCTTCATTTCCTTTGTCTGAAACTATATAATCTTTAACTCATTACCTATATAACAGTATATGATAAGCAGTATACACTTAAACATTGCAAAAATTGTTGTTTAACCAATCAATTAATCAAACAAACAAGGCAGATGCTATTTTAGATATCTATATAAGATTTTATTATGTTAAATTAAATCAGTGTTTAAAAAAATGATAAAAATGGTTAATATTAAAATATATGGGATAGGAAATCATGTTTATCTTTATCCAGCATTTACAAAAGTTCTGTTGTTCAGACTATTTAAGTACATTGTCAATGAGTATCGGTCAAAGAAAGGGCAAAAGAGCGTAACAAATTCATACAAAATGAAATAGCAAAGATAGAAAACGAATTCAAAAGTAAAAAAAAAAGAAAAAAATTCAATAGCGTCTGTCGGTCATGAAAAACATTTCAGACAAAATATGCGCTAAAAGGATTGCATTCTGTCTCGAGAATATTTATATACGTATAAAAATATCAAATGTTAGAGATGAATGGAAACGTCGAGTTCATTTGATAAAACGAACCTGGTTTGAATATTTAAAAACACCCACACACTTCCAAGAGAATAAACTCAGACTTATTATTTCATTTTACCTATATAAGGACAAACATAAAGAATTAGTATTTGATAAGTTTATTTATTTTAAAGCATGAAACAAGATATTTGTCAAGTTTATTTGTGGCACTAAGTGCCTTAAATTCTTGACTTATGCTTTTCAAGATGATCCTCTTGCCAATAATTCTGTTATATGTGAAACAGCTCTTCTGTCTATACTGTCTATAAAAATAATCATAAACGATGACATGGCATTCTGACAGTATTTATCGTGATGTCTGCAAAAGAAAACAAGATTACAAAAGATGTTAGATCTATTTAGTTCCTAGTGACAACAACAGTTTTAGTTAAAGAGTTTGTAATTTAATAAGCACAGAAAACATAAAGTCGTGTTAGTAAATACGGGATAGTGAGTGTTAATAATAGGTTAGTTTCTATGATGAGACTCCTGCATAGAAAACAAGCCAACTTCATAGAAAGGCTAACAGGGTTAATTATGTTAAAAGCTTAGCAACTCAATTAACTGCTGGGAAACATATAACAATTCAGATTCTGATTGAGTTGCATTCTGATTGTAAAATAGATTGAGATAGAAAAGTACAACAGTATTGATTTATCTCGGGCTTGTGAATAAATACCAGCACTTCGCGTTCCAAAATTTTATATATTTGAAGCTCGGCTCAACTATGAAAACCATCAAGCACAGAATAGAGTAACGCATCCATAATAATGAACATGGAGCTTAAAGATGTTAATGATATATATATAGGCAAAACTTTGTTGTTGTTGTTTTTTTAAAGAAAATATATGTGCTGTGCTGTGTGACAATTGTTGCACTGAACTTCATTTTAGTGTTGTTATATTTTCTAGTCCCCCTTCGGGATCATCTATTTAAATACTTGAAGGTTTGAGGATTGAGTACCGCTTAATAGTTGGTGCTAGGTGATGGGAGAGATGTTAAATTCTCGCAAACATACTTTTTTTGCAATTCTCTTGTAATTTTGTTGTGATTAATGCTTCCGAGGGATCACTTTGTTTCCAGATTTTTTTTTGTTTGGATCTCCCCTCCAGAAGATTAAACCTGTTTTACATGTTTTAGTTTGTGTTTTCTTTAAGAAATCAAACCATAGAAAAATGTCGGTCTTATTAAAAAGTGATGAATTAGGCTAATGAGCAATGATTTACTTTCCTTCCACCTTTGTTTGAAAGCTTCGATACATTCAAATTGTCCACAAACTTATACGATAGAAGTAACTGATAGATAAATGTTTCCTGATATTTTGATGCGTAATACATTCAGTAAAGTATTCTGTTCCACATTAGTACAATCAATTGTTAGTCAGGATGTAAACAGATTTAACATAATTCAAAATTAGAAGAAAAAAATCAAATAGCGTCTTCGGTTCCTTAGAGAAACATTCAAAGAAATATGTTACTGAACTGGTGGCATTTACTTCTCAATTGATCTTCTCGTGATACTTTCTACACAAGTGAAAATGTCAAATGTTAAAGACAAATGGACTTTTGTCTGATAGGTGGCCTTGAATTTAGTTGATGTTAACAGAATGCGATCAGATGTTTCTACGTAAATTATTATCATCAGCTCTAAGAAAAATAAAGAAAGTATTGAAGAGGACAAAATAAATCTTTAAGTATATTTATTGTACAAAACTGATACCTATATTGTCATCACTAATGCAACAAGGCAATATGAAGACAGGCAGCTTATTTTAAAAAATATATCCTCTGCCGGAACAGAACGTTTGAATGGATAACAAGTGTGAAGTAAGGTCAGTCCTTAATTTATGATCATTTATGCCACTTGACTTTAAAAACTTTTCTTCTTTTCTTAAGTGTTATGGTTATGGAGCACACAAGAAATGTGGACTTTGTACATTTGACCTTTAATTGTGACCATGCGACCTGTTTGTTGTGCACTGTACATCGTTTTATAATGTTGATCATTTGTGAAAAGTTTTTTTAAAACTCACGGTCTGACAGACGGATGGACAAACGAAGGCCATTCCTATATTCACTGGAGTAAAGAAATAATTGATATTATAATTCTAAGAAAAGAGTACATTTTAAAATGCATACTTTTAAATTTTAGTGTCAAGCTATAAATAATGACTGTGATTTTATTTCTGTATAATCAATTATTCATTGAATCAAACAATCATTTATCGCATAAAAACGATGATATATTTAATTCAAGCGATGATATTAGCATATAAACAATGATATATCTAAATCAAGCGATGATATTACCCTAAAAACAATGATGTATCTAAATCAATGGTTGATATATACATTTAAACATTAATATATCTAAATCAATCGTTGATATTGCCATAAAACAATGAATTATCTAAATATAGCGATGATGTTGCCATATAAGCAGTGATATATCTAAATCAAGCGATGATATTGCCATGTAAACAATGATATATCTAAATCAAGCGATAATATTGCCATAAAAACAATGATATATCTAAATAAAGGAATGATATTGCCATATAAACAATGATATATCTAAATCAAGCGATGATATTGCCATGTAAACATGTAATGATGTATCTAAATAAAGGAATGATATTGCCATAAAAACAATGATATATCTAAATCAAGCGATGATATTGCCATGTAAACAATGATATATCTAAATAAAGGGACGATATTGCCATATAAACAATGATATATCTAAATCAAGAGATGATATTGCCATGTAAACAATGAGTTATCAAAATCAAGCTATAATATAGCTATGTAAACATTGATACATTTAATCAAGCTATGATATTGTCATATAAACAATGATATATCAAAATCAAGCGATGATATTTCCATATAAGCAATGTTATTTTAATTCAAACGATGATTGTAATCAGCTATGTTTTTGTGTTGTTGTTGTTTTTTTTTTGTTTTGTTTTTTTCGTTACAAACAATTATTTATTTGTTTATTTTTCAAACGACAATCATTTAATTTATTTCAGGATGACTTTTTATAATATAAACAATGATATATTTCATTCAGATGACATTTTATATTATTTCTAACAGTGATTTTTACGAAACAAACAATGATTTGTCCATAGCAACGATTTATTAAAAAATTTTCAATTATTTTGTTCCAATTAAAAAGAAACAGTAATTTTTTTTCGTTTAAACTATGATTTGTTTGTTAGGTAGGCCAGTCAATGATTTTTTTAATTTTATTTGCGTTCCATGTGGTACAAAGGTTCACTTATAGTGGTTTAAAGATTGTCAACACGTCAAAGATAACATGTAGTGTCTATTTTATACAGTGTGATAGCTAATTGCAATACAATAAACTGTAAGTTATAATGTGGGACTTGTCAGTTAGAGTTACATTAAAATCAATGTTCATGTTGAAACCGTGCATATTTTATATTTCTATCACATACTTTAGAAAGATATATAAAATTTGTAGACACACTTACTCATCGTGAATTTCGGGATGAAATATCTAAATATATTCCTAATCTGCAATACAATGATCTTCATTCTGTAATTGTATTATCTATAACATTTAACACATAGTAATAATTTTGATATGATATATATAATGCCATTATAATAGTATGACTGTTAACCCCAAATACCTTAATTATTACTGCAAAGTTCTCCGCTATTTTTGACATACACAGTAATTCAACGAGATACGTGCAAAATGTTTACATAGTAAACCTGTATTTTGGTTTAAAATGGAGGCCGGTGATTTTACCCATATATCATCTGCTGTTAAAGATAATCAAATAATATCCTAGCGGATTTAACACGATCTACTGAGTCTACTCAATCTTGCTTTATACTTTGTATAACTGGTGAGTAATATATCTATATATATTTTACTTTTAAGATATCATCTAATATATAAGCATATTAAAGATGTATTCTGTTTAATGTTATAATTTACCATTATCATTTATTTTAATTTCTTATTTTCATCAGACTGAAATTAAAATGAGGAAAATGGTTTTATTTATTGTACTATTGTATTGTCTAATGATGGTGGTTATCATGAAATGATTGCTGTTATACATACATTTGGCAGACTACTGTACATTTATTATTACTAATATTATGAATTCATTGTATTTATTTTCTAGATTTTATAAAGGTTTAATGTTTCCTTATACCCCGGTCACATATTCACGGAATACGCCCACGGAAGAGACACGGATTAATTCCGCTATCGTCCGTAGCTACCTGTACTAGTCTGTAGCTCTCCGTATTGTAACCGTAATCAATCGTAGTAGTCCTTGTATATCCGTAGCGATCCTTGACAATTTTTGAACATGCACAAAAATTTGCTACGGAAAAATCAACAGTAGCGTATCCCTACTAGTCCGTATTAATCCGTACTGATACGTACTGGTCCGTACGAAAACCGTAATAGTCCGTACTGATTGGTAGTCCACCGACTTGTCAAGGATTTCCACGGTTTGGTACGGAGAACTACGTATTTGTACGGTTACCCTACGTATAAGCTACGGTTTTAATACGGATTAATACGGCATTGTCACGGAAAGCCACGATCGTAATACGTTGTACGATATATATCATATACCTTCCTTTGTCATTATGTATAACTGTTATTTTTGATATTGTTTACTTGTTGTTGTTGTTGTTTATTTGTTTGTTTGCTTTATTTTTTTAACTTTAACATCTTTATAAATAATTATGTTATGGATGAGGAGCAAAATGTTCATGTCTCAAAAATAAGATTCATGTTCTGTTCTGTATAATCAAGATAATATTTTATTTCCAAACTTCAAGAATTAATTGTTGTTTTTTAATTTTAATATTTTCAGCTAATATGGAAGTATACCTGCTGTTCGCAATTCTGGTACATTGTGTCAGTGCAAAGCCAAATATAGTAATATTTATTGCCGATGACCTTGGCTACGGCGATATCGGTTGCTATGGTAACCATTCTGTAAAAACACCAAACATTGACAGTATAGCGAGGGAAGGAGTCAAGATGACTCAACATTTAACAACAGCGAGCACGTGCACCCCTAGCCGATCTGCATTTCTTACAGGGCGATACCAAATACGATCTGGTAATTATTTCTGAAATAGTTTTACAATATACTTAAAACTCGAGTTAAACAAGGCTATATAAAGTAAAGTACAAACTCTGCAGAACGGCCCTCGGATTTGCAATTTATGTGCATCTTTTCAAAAGCATCATATATAAATCCGTTCCGAATTAAAACTATCCATTAAAATTCACCTGTCTAAATAGTCTCACTTCTCAGTAACAACTAAAAGCATTTGAGCCGTGTCACGACAAAACCAACATAATGGGTTTGCGACCAGCATGGATCCAGACCAGCCTGCGCATCCGCGCAGTCTGATCATGATCCATAATGTTCGCTTACAAGCTCTATAATAAGTAGAGAAACTGATAGCGAACAGCATGGATCCTGATCAGACTGCGCGGATGCGCAGGCTGGTCTTGATCCATGTTGGTCGCAAACCCATTATGTTGGTTTTGTCGTGACACGGCTCATTTGTCTCCCAAAGGGTGTAGTATGAGTTCTACGCTGCATTTCGAACTTCGTCCAAGTACAAAAAGGTGCGCTATAAAAAGCTGCGGTATATAACACTCAGAAATGCTACTGAATAAGGTCAAAATGTTAGTTTGTAAAGACACTTTGACTTGTTGACCATTTCCATATTAGGAAAGGCTGTATTATTGTGTAGTCGACCTATAATACCGTGGTAATGCTTGTTATTTATATTCAAAGCAGCTTTATTGTAATATCGGTGACAATATACATCTATAATTTAATTAACCTTGAGAGGTTCTTGGAAAATGGGCGTATTTCTTCCTGGTACAAAAAGTTTAGGTTATCCGATAAATCAAATTAATTAAAATATGGGTATGTAAATGATACGGAAACTTAAATGTAACATCATAAAAATATGAATGCTGTGATGCAACATAAAGCAATAGTGATGCTTAAATGTAAAATGGTGTAATATAAATCCTATGGTGCAACATAATGTCAACGCTATGATAAAATCCACGCTATAAAGGAACATGATGTAATAAAAACGTTAAAATGTAACATGGTGTAATATCAAGCCTATGGTGCAACATAATATCAACGCTATGATCTAACACGATGTAAAATTCACGCTATGAAGGAACATGATGTAATAAAAACGTTGAAATGTAAAATGGTGTAATATCAAGCCTATATTGAGCATAGTGTGTTAAAAGAAACGCTTTGGTGTAATATCAACGCTATCATGTGACATGATGTAAAATGGACGCTGTGACGTGACATGATGTAATATCACCATGAAGTAACATGATGTTTTAACAGTAACGCTTTAACGTATAAATGAAACATGATGTAAAAGTAACGCTATTATATAACCTGGTGTGATAGCAATACATCTACTATGATGCAACATGATCTAATAGCAATTTTTATGTATCTTGACGTAATAGCAATGCTATGATGTAATATCAATGATGTAATGTAACATGACATAAATACGATACGTTGATAATATAACTTTGTGTAACAATGTTAAATTGGTATGTTTTAATACAAATTGATTTATGAATATGTGATTCTAATTAAATCAGGGATGGCTGCTCCAGTGAACATGAGAGTCAATACATGGCCTTACTCGAGCTGTGGTCTTCCAGCATCAGAAATAACCTTTGCCGAGCAAACCAAGAAAGCTGGCTATATTAACGGAATTTTTGGTAATATAAATTCATAATGATACAGTACCTAAACCTAAACAATTACCAAAAATGTTACCATTTTACAGTAACAGATAGGAACTTTGACGTCACAACTTTTAAATAAACAAGTTATACAGTTTATATTGGATTTATTTTGACATTTAAGATATGTTTTTTTACCTAGTTATTTCTTTATTTAGTAGATCCTTAATACATGTTGAATCTGGTACATCTTATCTTATCGGTTTTATCATTTTTAAAAATGCACATGTATATTTTGTAATTAACTTCCTTTCAGGAAAATGGCATCTAGGGCTTCACAAAGAACAATTAGGAGATTTCGAGCATCATCCATTAAACCAGGGATTTGATTCCTTCTACGGCCTTACGGGGACAAATCTTGATGATTTTGACCCTTCAGAAAAAGTTGTCCTCAAAGCCATGCCATACTGGTATTATTCAATCATATCAACATGGTCTGTAACAGCCGTAGCATTGTTCTGTTTATACAAGTTTAAATATTACGGAACTTTGACATTTATAGTTTTATTAATTATATGGTCGATACCTTCTTTATACTTCTATCTTTTGTTTGATAATTACATTCTTCTAACAAGCTTTCTACACAGAAATTACGACCTTGTTGAGCAGCCAATCAGATTAGCCGGTTTATGTCAACGTTTAATGAATGAAGGTTTGGAGTTTATGCAAAATGCAACAGTTGCTAGGCAACCATTCATGCTTGTAATGTCCTGGGTGCATATGCATGTTGCTCTTAGAACAGCTAAAGAGTTTGAGGGGCGGAGTCAAATTGGAAGGTATGGAGACGCTTTGGAAGAACTAGATTGGTCGATCGGAGAAATTTTAAAATCAATAAAAACGCTTGGAATAGAGGATAATACCATTGTTTATTTTACATCGGATAATGGCGGACATCTTGAAGTTTCTGATGGCGGTTATAACGGTATACTTAAAGGTATAACCTTCATATTATTTTGGCATTTAGAAGGTTTAACTGGTCCGTTGTTTGTGCATTTTTTTTTTCAAAAAATATTTTGTATTGTTTTTATTTGAAGGAATGGGAATATATTGTCAACGTGACTGTCATCATTCCTGCAAGAGTGTTCTGAATCTTATGACTTTTCTAATCCGGTGTACCCAAATGTTTATTTTTTTAAATATCGCATGATGTACATTTTGCGTATAATGTAACATATTATCAAAACTCACGTCACTGACCTTACACGAACCGAACGTGAACTTGGTAGTTATATCAGTAACGTATTTCAGAACAAACAAATGTGTTGTTGATGTTGCGTTAAATGTCAAGAAGTCGTTTTATAAATTAGGAAAAGAATTAGTCAATTTTATTATTGATTATTATAAAAAACACGTTATTATTGTAGGAGGCAAAGGACATGGTGCACCAGACGGAGGCATTCGTGTTCCTGGAATTATAAAGTGGCCTGGAGTTCTTGGTCAAGGCCAAACAACAGATGAGCCGACATCGCTGATGGACATATACAACCTAATCTCGACAGCTGTCGGTGTAGATTTACCGTCAGACCGGCAGATCGATGGTAGAAACATCCTTCCGTTACTCAAAGGAGACGTGAATGTGTCACCGCACGAGTTTATGTTCCACTACTGTGGTAACAGGATACAAGCTGCCAGATATCGACCACGTGATGGTAAGCAGACGACTTTTTGTGACAGCTATATTTCAAGTTTGTGTTACTTTGTAATCTGAATTGATACAATATCGTCTACAGATAATATTTTCTAACTAACAGTTCGTTAAATGTTAAGGTTGAACGCGGTTATAAGATCTTTGATTAAGTCGAAATTGTCGCACTTTTCTTAATTGAGCTTTTCTTATCTTTTACAGGACAAATAACATGGAAGCTAGTAACGCATGAGCCAAATTATATTCCTGGGAAAAATGTATGTGTATTTGTGTGCACGTGTAATCTTGATGTCGCTTTAACAACGCCGAAACTTTACGATATGACTTCCGACCCTGGAGAAACTAGCCCAATAAATAGTAATTCACAAACTTACAAGAAAATATCGCCTTTGATTTTAACAGCAATTAAAGAGCATAAAGCCTCCATAGAACCAGTAGAAACACAATTTACTTGGGGTAAACTGAGGCCAAATCTAAGATGGCAGCCATGTTGCAATGGTACATTTCCTTTCAACTGCCACTGTATTGATGAAAAATATTCGACTTGAAAAGTCAGAAATTTATTAAACAACTCCATACATGTCATTCTTAATAAGGACTTTTTTAATGACGTTTTGTTTGTATAATATACATGTATATTAAGAACTTGCAATTATTATGCAAATTCGACATTATTTTCTAAAAATTATCATTTTACATAATTTTCTAAAAATTATCATTTTATTATCTTAATGGGGATATGCTATACTTTTCTACATTAAAATATTTTCTTTGTGTTTTACTCTATTGATTTTGTATTTCAAAATGATATGTTTTTCAATTTTATCAAAAAACCTCGAAAGTATACATGTAGTACAAAATATAACAGTCGTGGAAAACATATCTAAGGACGACAACACTTGCAGTTAACATTGCAATGTATTCAACACACTTGTATTTCTTTAAATAATTTACGTGTTGCCAACATCGCTTGTCTATCATGTTCAATGTGTTGAAAAATCTGAGTTCATTATATATAGACTTAAGAGTTACATATGATTTCAAACATTAATAATAAGTGCATTGTTATATCAAAAAAGTTATTCATACAATTTGAGGGAAATTATGTCAGTTAATAATAAAAAGTACAGAAGACTCATACATTGAGAATAACAAGAATGACTTTCTTATATTTATCTTTAGGGTAGTTTCTAGAGAATTTCACAAGAACGTTTTAATAAGAATCAAACATATATAATGTTAAAAATGCGGCTTATGCCACCTGCAAGAGGAATATTGTCCAGATCATGTTATTTTCTTTATCAACACCTACTAAGGCGCATATCCAGGATTCTTTACGAGATAGAGTCTAAAAAATGTGGACATAGATTTTTGCAATGCCAGAATGGTTTGGCATTTCAATATTTTTCCAGGTTAAAAAAAAACTATTTTTGCATGATTTTCAATAAAAAGCGTTAATTGATATTCAAACGGATCATGGAAGAAAAATAGCCAAACACACAGCCCATCAGCACCCCCCCCCCCCTCCTTCCAACGCTCTGCGTGCGTACATAAATACGTTCAAAGAAATGCAGCAGACAAAAACGTGAAGCGTTGTATCACCCTTCTGTATGTGGTTCTGGTATCACTTATAAATACGTCACTACCGGGTACTAAAATAATTATCTTGAGCTCGTCCGAAATACCCACTGTATATGTAATAGAAAGAGCATCGAAACACGAGGCTATCTGATTTGTACGAGTGGGCCCGAGTGTTAATCAGATGGATGAGTGTTTTGATGTTCTTTCTCTTTCGTATCATAGTCGAACATAAAAACACCACAATATGAAAACCCGGGGAAAAGTAACCAATGAACGAGCATCTGAATATGGTATTTCTGTCGCTTTCCCTTTCTCTTCCGTCACAATAAGTAAACCCCAGCAAAAATGAGCCAATCAATGGGCATGCTCTGGAGTGCGGGTAACTAATACCTGCACTCCAGTTAACGCACTGTGCATGTATATGTATACGATTTAACTCTGACACATTTTCAACAGAAAGATCACCAAACTATGATACAATGTACAGTAAGTGCACTACACCGTGTTGTTTAAAATTGATGGGATTTAGCCCTATCTAGATCATACTATCATATCTATCTTGCACCAACGTTATCTAGATGGGCAGTTGAAGTGGTCCGCATGTAACTCGATATCATGACTAGTATTTATGATCTAGTTGTTCGCATAAATTCATAATGTAAACAAAAATGGTCTGATGTGTAATCACGGATAGGCAAACATGTAGATATATGTTCGGATGTGTAAATATGCTGAGTAAGTATTTAAATTTATTTCTCTATTAATTAAAGCAATTACGTTGAAGTGGATTGATTTATCATAATTTAACACATGTATACATAATAATTCCACCCTTGTCTATAACAAAGGAAAGCTAGCATTATGATATCCATACGTTTTGTTTTTATTTTTTAAATAATTCGATAAACAGATCCAAAATAAATTTACGAAATATTGATTCGACTTAAGAGGATACTGTAGAAAATTTCAAATATATACTTTTATTTAATCATATCGGTATGCTCCTTTAAATCTTGAATAAATGTCATTTGAAAAAACAATTTACATTTGTTACAAGTGGAAGTACAGTAAAACGGGAGACAACCCGATGTATGTGGACTACACTATCGAGCTCACGACAGCTGGTCCAAAGTACGGTAATATATATATAATTACCTTCCGTAATATCATTGGGGCCGAATATCATTATAGCTCCGTCGTAATAAAATGTACTTTACATCGTACCAGGAACTTGTCATGCAGTAACATACATGTGTTGGTTTTAAAATGATAATGTATATTGTTAGTGCAAATTGTATCCTTAAAATAGATGTAAAAATATCTTATATAGATGTCGTTTTTATTATCTTTTTTTCAATTAGATGCCGAAAAGGAATAAAAATGTGATGATTATTTATTTCAGTACTCTTTTTATAAATCAATTTTAAGACTTGTAAAGATAGCGTTAACGTTTGTTGCAAAGTCTTATTTAAGTGGCCTTTGATGACAAATTACATTTTAAGTATGATGGCGGTAAACTGGCTGATACTTATGCTGTTCCCATGTGTTCACCCCGCTCCCAACATTATTTTATTCATCGCCGATGACCTTGGGTACGGGGACCTTGGTTGTTATGGCAACACGTCCGTAAGAACGCCACAAATTGACAGTTTAGCAAGAGACGGGGTAAAAATGACCCAGCATCTTACTGCAGCAAGCACATGCACACCAAGCCGATCGGCATTCTTGACAGGTCGATATCCTGTGCGTACAGGTAATCTTATGTTAATTAATAGCCTCTCTTTCCTATGAACAGTTATTATACGGACGTTTTAATGTTTTGAAAACAGATGCATCTGAACTCCGCATCGAACTATTTGAAAGCTGTCCTTTTGATCCATAAACATTTCTTATTTGGGTTTTATTGCATAACTCATGGTTTTACGTCAAACCGACACACACAGTATAGGTGATATAGCGACGTTCCAGCTTTACTGGTGGAGGAAGACCTCATGTGCCCTTCCGTGTATTATTTCAGGCACGAACGGGCACCTGAATAGAACTACCGACGTTCCGTAAGCTAGCTGGATAGCTTCCTCACATGATATAATTCAAAGTCCCTGTCGGGACTCGAACCCACAGCGGTGAGGGGCAAGTGGTTTGAAGTCAACGACCTTAACCACTCGGCCACGGACGCACGCCCCTTATATAAAGGTAGATCTAATAATTATCTCTTGACGAGTTCATAAGAAAACGTTAATGTTATACAACAAATGAAACATTACATAAGCATTAATATATGGACAATATAATTTTATTTCAGTTTAACCTTTTTCTAGAAATATAAAACATTTATATAGTTAGAAAATGTGTGTGCTGATTTTAATCAAAGGAAGGTGTTTTGACCCTAGATCTGTATTTCGTTTGAATTTTTATATAATAAACTATTCGTACCACTAAAGGGATGGCAGCTACTGGTTTAATGAGGGTCAACACGTGGCCATATTCGAGTTGTGGGTTACCGTCGTCGGAAATAACATTTGCTGAACAAACTAAGAAAGCTGGATACTTAAATGGTTACATTGGTAGGTGTTTATCCTGTTTTATTTTCTCATTTTGTAAGACATACCAGTATATGATTTTAAAACAATATGAAATATCGACATAATCAATTACTTTTGTAACCTCTATGGGAAACCTCACTAAGTTAAAATAAGGCATTCGGATATATAAGATATTCGGATATTGAACGTCCAGTATGAAGAAGTCCACCTTTAAGTGGCTACTTACACCTCCGCTATATCTTATCCTTATTGCTCTATTTTCAGGAAAATGGCACCTTGGACTACATAAGGATAGAATTGGTGACTTTGAGCACCACCCATTAAAGCAGGGTTTTGATTACTTCTATGGAACTATTGGTACTAATCTTGATGACTTTGGATATGAGACTAAAGTTATAACTAACCAAAGGCCGTACTGGTATGGTGAACTTTTTACAATATGGGCGGTTACCGCAGTGGCTCTGTGGTCATTGCTTAGGTCGAAATATATTGGAACAGTTATGTTTATTGTCCTCATAACCCTCTGGACAGTGCCTATTATTTGTGTGTACCTTCTCTTTGAAAATTTTACTCTTCTGAGTAGTTTTGTTCACAGGAATTTTGAGTTAGTTGAACAACCAATCAGGCTTGCAGGTTTAAGTCAACGTCTTGTGAATGAAGGTGTGGAGTTTATGCAGAATGCTACTGTTGCTAGGCAACCGTTCTTGCTTGTTATGTCATGGATTCATATGCACGTAGCAATAAAGACAGCTAAACAGTTTGAAGGGCGAAGTCAGTTTGGACGTTATGGCGACGCTTTAGAGGAGTTAGACTGGTCCGTTGGTGCTATTTTAAAAGCTTTAGAACAGCTCGGTCATGGAGATAATACGCTTATTTATTTCACGTCGGATAATGGCGGCCATCTTGAAATTGGGACGGACGGGGGTTATAACGGATTTCTTAAAGGTATTTTATGTCTAGTAACAATGCATTTTTGATAATCGTTGTTTTTTTAACTAATATGACTACAGGCTGTCGTTTAATCTATATATTTCACTCAATGTATAATAACTCGTATATTTCACATCTTAAAAGTGTAACTAATGTAACGTCCAGCGTTTGCCCCACCTGATCTCCCTATGTAAAACGTTTTTTGATAAAATCTTAAAAACTGTGTAAAGTCCAGAAAGTTAATTTCAAAACCATATTGTACGTATTATATTTCCGGGTCCAGAAATCCATTTGAAGTGTCAGGATTCTGTCAAAATGTGAAAAAGAAGAAGTCAAAGTAACAGGGACATTTTGCTTTGTTGAATACAAAAATGCTTCTATTGCACCTTTTGTTCCATATAGGTTTTGTATATATGTACCCGTCCAATTGAATCGGCAATATCTCATTGATCTACTAAAGTCGTTCTTGTGCTTTTCCTTGGAATACAATTTTAATTAAATATGTTCTATCAAAGGGGGCAAGACACATGGTGCTCCAGATGGCGGGATTCGAGTACCAGGTATAGTTAAATGGCCGAGCGTCTTGCCACGTGGGAAAGTTACGGACGAACCCACTTCATTGATGGACATATACAATCTTGTCTCGACTGCAGTGGGAGTAAATTTACCATCCGATAGGGAAATTGACGGGGAAGATATTTTACCTTTATTGAAAGGTGACGTTTCGGTGTCGCCGCGTGAATTTATGTTCCACTACTGCGGTAACAGGTTAGAGGCGGCAAGATACAGGCCAAAAGGTGGTACGTGACATTTTAACTTATATTTGACTCTCTTAAAGTATGTCATTTAGTTAAAGTATAGAATAACGCAGTCCAGTTTTCTGTGAACGTTTGAATATTTAAGTTTAGGTAAAACATATCTGTGTCATAAAATATATCGATTGTTAAGTGTATCATTTTGAAGTCCATTTTCAGGACTTAAGTAATGCAATGTTCGAGTCACGTGTAGAAACGTTGTGATGACCTATGTAGGGTCCGAAATAATTCCTGTCATTGCAAAACGAAATTAATCTCCAATCCATTTTCAGAAAATCGTGTAACACTATGTCTATCCTCAAGACAGAAAGCGATTTATTTTGAAATGTATGATAAATCGTATGTGTACGCGAAAACTGGTCGTAAAGTTCTCTCTAAAAGTCAGTTAAGGTTTTTGAACTAATTTAGTAATATATAAGAATTGCATGGTTATAAATGTTTCAACTTTGATTTACTTCTTCTAATTACAGGATCAAAAACATGGAAACTAGTAACACATGAGCCAAATTTAATCCCCGGATCAAAATTATGCCAGTTCGTATGCAGTTGCAATTTTAATATCCACTTGGCAACGCCTAAACTCTACGATATGACCTCTGACCCTGGTGAAACCACACCCATTGACAGCAACTCCAAACTGTACAGAGATATAACGCCCATTATACAAAATGCTATTTATAATCACAAAAATTCTATAAAACCAGTTGAAAGTCAGTTTACATGGGCAAAACTCGCGCCAAAACTGACATGGCAGCCATGTTGTAATGGACACTTTCCTTTCAACTGTGAATGCATTGATCCGAAATATTCGGAAAATTTCACACTATGATTATGTAGGTATCTCAACCGATATTTAAACATTTCAGGTTATATGCTATACATATTCATAACATGGACCCAGGTGATACATATTCCTGATATTTATTTCGATGTCTGTCAGAAAATAACAAAATAATACAAGAATAAATATAAATATAATGATTAGTTTCTTATGTTTCTATCGTAAGCCAAGATGTCAATCAAGTACATTGTGTAATCGTATATTTTAAAACTACACAAAAGATACTAAATGAAACACAATTACAAACAAAATTTAGGCATAGCTATGCTTCGAGTTTTATAAAAGAAGCATCATAGTGGAATGTAGGTTCGGAAAAAAAATATACTTATATAAAAGATAAAATAGTCACATGTCCTTTCGTTTGTACCATTCTCTATAAACTTTAACTAGAATTATTACATGGCGGTTTGTAATATCAATCGACTATAATTTGAGGTTCAATTTAATTCCATAACATCAAGAGCCAAATCGTTTTGCTAAATCTGCCACAATCCTTAAATGTCGTACTCTCTCTACTGATTCCCGTTGGCGATAGATCAGTAGTGAAGTACCGGTTATACAGATAGATGGCTACACAAATCTTATCATTCAGTTTTTATTCTTTATATTTTGTTTTTTTCGCCTTTAATACCATCTTTGACACATCGTTAGCATTACGAACTTTGTCATTTAGATTTACAATCACGTCTTTTCCAGAAGAAAACAATCTAATAAACACACTTCCGGTGTACAATTGTCGGCCCATTTTCCTCATATTCTTTTTTACTGACCCACATATCTTCAAAAGTTGATAGCGAGGCTATAACTGAGCCTCCAATCCATACAGAGTATTTTCTTTCAGGCGGTGCTACGACCTTGACTTTATTTTTTGGAGGAACCAAGCGTTTCAGATCTTGTTCTACTCTTTCCTTCATTCCTGCAAAACATTATATTACATGATACTGATGTGACAGAAGTTGCTATGCTTTAGAATTTATACATATCGAAATTAAGACATTTTTCAAGAAAAAAAGATAATATAAAATTATATGTGAATTAATAATATTGCTAAAAATAATGAATTTTACTTGGATTTATCATTATGTATTCCCTTCTTGTATCAGTGTAAACAACACAAATTATTTATTACATTTCCCTGTGAAAGTCGGAACTATACAGTTTTGCATTTATAAAGGCGCCATACAAAGAATAAAACCTGTCAACTTCCATGTTTAAAAGATTCGTGGACGTATCAACTTGATACTGCAAGAACCAAATTGTTCATATAAGATAACGAGCAAGCTAGTGATTTTATTTATTTACCTGGGAACATAGTGGACCCTCCCGACAGGACAATGTTGACGTAATAATGACTTCTAAGGTCAATGTCACATTTCATGATAGATTCATTCACCATATTACTGAAACCAAACTGCTCTTTGCCTGAAAATATACATACACATAGAATAATATATTTATCTGTCAACATGTTATTATGGGAAGATAAAAAAACCCTGTAAGTTTTTAATTTAGTGATTCAAATTTAAATATAAAATAATCTATAAAACTCGACATTGTATTTTTGTCTATTTACACTCACTACTGGAATAATCCATATAATCGAGCATAAAATTCGGAATTTTTCATCATCTATATACTGGGTTACCGCAAAACAACTGTGCGTAAATTTGACAAGAAGACTTCTAACGGGTAAGACGGCTATGTATATAATATCTCTTGCGTCTCGGATTATATAATAACACAACTTTACTACCCCAATCCCTCTCGATACGGGCACGTTGCGGAAATACACCTCGAGGTCAAGTCATCTTAAGTACCAAGGGTGGCTGCTGAGTGTCTCGGGAGGGTGTGGCCATACAAAGTGCCGCTTTGAAAAAGAACGATGCATTGGTTTACATCCCTCCGGATAGAACCATGGACGAAGGAAAATTATTTCCAGCAATGATAAAATGGTGCCGATGGTTCACAGAAAGGGACCGGCAATGTGCGAATAGTATCGCCCATACAAGTTCATCTCGGTGGGGAGTATAAATAAACAAACGCACACACAAGACATACTAGTATTCGGCTTTGTGTTACTGTCGGTTTGTGGCGTCGATTTTGTATACGAGGAATGCGATAACTTAAGGTGATTTCGTAAGATCTACTCATACAATGATTACCTTAATCGCCGATTCAAAAAAAGATTACGAACCTAATAGAGTGTGATCAAATAACGCCTCTGCGCAACGGAATCTTTCACTCCCAACAACAATTGTTTGACCATCCGGAAGTTCATACGTCATATCATTTGCGGAAGTACATTCTGTCGTCTGCAATTCCTTCTGGAAGTCTAGTGCGACATATCCTAGTTTTTCTTTAATATCTCGGACAATTTCCATCTCGGCTGAAATAAAAAAATTGTATAAAAACTAATTGTTACTCTACAGTTCAGATTTGAGTCAGGTTTTTCTTAACTGAGAAGTAAATGTAAATGACCTTGCCATTGTTGGACCAAATGTGAACAGCCGTGAATCATATCTTCTTCATTGTAAAAGATTCGATTTTGGTATAATTATATATCTAAATAGATGTCAATGAATAATATATGGCTGAGCCTAGAATTTTTCTACTTGAAGGATGATACGATAAAAAATCTTGAAAGTAAATGATGTTTATTCTGCCAAATTTATATGCTTGTTGCGCTTTAAGTTAGTTTCATCCGTACATATAAGCATTCGATAACATAAATTAAAAGGTTGAGACTAGTATTTATACCGGAAGTGTTGAAACTATATCCGCTTTCTTGTAGCAGTTTAGCTAAGTAGTGTGTCAGATCCCTCCCCGCGACGTCAGATCTCAAGATGGCGTTAGGGATAGGATAAACTGAAATAAAATCAAATAGTTTGTTTAGGAATACATACGATTATAAACTTTGAAGAATACTTTGAAATAGTTTTGAAAACTAATGACATGTACAAACCGTGCAAAACTTCTTTCTTTCAAATACATGAAAATTGTAGAAGTAAACTCAACAGGAATATGATCTAATTCTAGTATTTGGATATGTTTCTCTTGTGTTGGTTTTACATGTCAACAGTGCCATCTTGTTTACGGTATATTCTTCAAATTATAGAATATAAAGCAGGGGGAAGACAATGACTTAACTTGTCACATCTTGATCTTGACTAGCTTTAGTGAAAATGTACAGGTCTGGAAAACGATAAAAGCGATCAAGTCCTGCACGTCGGAATTATAAAATGTAATGACGAGACTAGGACAATTCATTAACGCAAAATATATTCTTACGTGTCTTGATAAAATCTTACTGAAGTTGTTACAATTTTATCATACCCACCAAGTATTATAAAATGATAACATAATTGCATAAGATGTATAGTTAACAACAGTTGCACGAGCTTACTAAGAGATGATCAGCTGTTTAATAGTCCCTCTCTTCATATTCTTTCCTAACATATTATTCCCGTTGTAATTTAAAACTTAATGTGTGTTTAATGTATACATTTTGGTTATAGATATATGTTTAACTTACTGCCTTCAACAGGAACAATATGAGTGACACCATCACCAGAATCTATTACGACACCAGCATGTCTACCTGATGAAAATATTGTAAGTACTGCCTGGATACTCACGTAAAATGCTGGGGTGTTAAATTTCTCAAACATTATCTGTAAAATAAATATGTCTGTATAAAACAAAATAAACTGCAAGATGACTCTTTAACCAATCTTTGACATGGTGGTTTATCAAACGCAAACACATTTTATATGAGCCGTGTCACGACAAAACCAACATTGTGCGTTTGCGACCAGCATGGATCCAGACCAGCCTGCGCATCCGCGCAGTCTGATCAGGATCCATGCTGTTCGCTTAACAACTCTATGACAAGTAGAGAAACCGATAGCGAACAGCATGGATCCTGATCAGACTGCGCGGATGCGAAGGCTGGTCTGGATACATGCTGGTCGCAAACGCACTATGTTGGTTTTGTCATGACGCGGCTCATATAATTATTATATTACTTATGTTAATGTGAATTGTTTAAAGTAACTAACCAACATATAAGATGCTATTAAACAAAATGTAATGACAACAATAGGAAAATTCATAAACGAAACTAGATTATTATCAACAAAAATACCAGATTATTAAAGTTATAGAAATGTTATCATGCCCATCAAGTATATGTAGAAGCGTAGGAATCCCCACAGCCGTGCAAATTAATGGCAGAAACAAGTACCAATGTAATTAAATGAACAAATATATATTTTTAGTAAAAACAATTGAAAGATATGAATAAGCGCATACGGCTTCTAAAAGACGATATTTAAACTATACTTAATCAAAAACATTAAAAATAAAAAAAAATATTTACAGGATATTCATTTGTGAGTATGATGACTTGATACTGTATTGAAGGTGACTTTTGTTTTCCTCAATAATTTTTATTTTGATATTTTATGATCTGAGACATTTTTTATATTCGGTATACCGGAGATATTTGTTATTTTGATATTCGGTATACCTCAGACATTTGCTAAACTACCTTGTCATATAATACCAAAATAAGCAGACACAATTTGACTGAGACACTTTTTATGAGGATTTCACTGGGACTACTTCGGCTGTCTGAAGTACATTTTATATGCTTCCTTTCAGTATAATAATGACATTATGTCAAAACAACAAATATGTGCCTGATATGTTTTACTTATTTATATCAAAAGACGCCTTCAATACGGTATTCAGGCCATCATTCCTTCAATACGGTATTCAGGCCATCATTCTTACGACAATCTTGAGACTTTGTTCTGAAAATATTTTATATAGGAAATATATAGGAAGACTTATATTAAAATGAAATGTGTAATCAAACAGTTAGTTAAATTCCTAAAAAGTCTACTACCTGTGCCATCTTTTCTTTGTTAGCTTTAGGATTAAGTGAAGGTTCCGTCAACAGAACAGGTTGTTCCTCTGGTGCAGCACGGAGCTCGTTATAGTATGTATGGTGCCAGATTTGTTCCATATCGTCCCAGTTGGTAATAATTCCATGTTGTATGGGATAACTAAGGGAGAGAATTCCTCGTTTCCTTTGCGCTTCGTCTCCAACATACGTGTTTTTCCTATCTACAGCTGACATTTCAATCTGAAACGTATGAACCTCCAAAGTATATATTTATTCATGCAAATGGTTGGTGAATCTAGTACCATTAAAACCGGGGTCAATATTGGTGGACGTGAAAGAACTGATGGTTACTACTCTAACGGAAGCTCTCTTGCACTGTCCTCCGAACTCGTACATTCTAAAGGATTCCATATAACTGACATTGGTTTCATGTTGCGACATTAAATAATTCTAAGTAAAAATATCATTTATATCACTGACACAGTGAACTGCTCTTGAATGTCATTCATATGAAACCAGTTAGATGTTGAGCAGTAAAAGGCGGTTAAGATAGGCCTCTCAGCCGAGTTTTAAAGATCTCTTAAGGATCCCTTTAAAAGGACAACAATGCAATGTCAAGGGGGCTGCATCATTATAGTATGACATAAACATTTGTTACAGACATCGAAAAATAAAAAATCTGGCATCACTCATAATCTATATATGCTTAGTGTATTATATTATATTTGTATTGCAGATTATTTAATATATGCTGATTTTGTAATGAAGTTGAATGAATTTTCCTTTATAGGCAGAAGTGGTCTTACCTCATATTTCGGACGCCCTATTATGGATGGAAAAGAGCAGATCGGGGCGTCATCACCGGCGAAACCTGCCTTACACATGCCCGACCCATTGTCAATAACGACTGCGTATTTCTCTGTATCTTCCATATATTGCTAGACTTCATGTGTTAAGCTGTCTTTAATAAAGTTGGAGTATTTCATGTCAAAATGAAAAAAAATAACATATCACTAGAACAGGCAGTAAAATGATGATTCAAACAGTTTACCTAGAACACTTGAAAAGAATACTTTGACGGCAAATTCAATCATAATATATTCTTAAGTTGCTAAATACAAACTAAACATTTGATAATAATAAGAAACTTACATCAAATCAAATAGTACACTTAAATGTCTACATATATACAATGTATATAGTTAATGTTAACTCATGCGTACCTCTTCCTACATGCATACAGATATAAAGATTTAAAAGTGAATGGTAGGTTAACTATATATTACATATATCTTGAAACACTACAAGTTAGAAAGTGGTTTTTTTTGGTAAATATACCAATGCTACTTTTTTGATTCGTCGTTTTTAATAAGAACAAGAGCTGTCAATCAGTGCTTGACATAAGTTCAAAACCGACGATACCGACGCCGGGGGTAAGGACAATGACTCTCTCTCCCCTATTCTTCGAATAGTCGAGCTAAACAATTATTGTTTATGACCAAGCTTCTGTATTTCCGAAATTAAAGCGTCATAAAATTTTGAAGAGAAGCAGATAAGATACGATTCAGACACATTTGCGATATCCTGTTTTAATTAATGATATAAATTTACGGCCTAACTTAATTTCATTAATGCTGACGTTGAGTTATTTTATATTATCAATACATGTAAACTACTAATAGTGCTTTATACGCTGATATATAATCATTTAACATTGATATATAATAATTCAAAACTAATATTTATGTATGTTTCTATACATGTACATGTATTATACTTACTGTAAAATATGTTTACTATCCACTCCGATGAATAAATAACATACTGATTGCTGTATCTTTACCTATTTCGTATACTTCATTTAACATGCTATATATGTATACACACACCTTTATCTGAAATATGTTTGTTTTTTGTACAAATCAATTGGGTATGACTTTAAAAGGAAATCCATTAGTATATAAATAGCTATTACATGTACATTAATCTATAAATAGAAATTATGGTTTAAAATTGTACAAGGGAAGTAACTATTTGTCAATCGCAACTACTCGGCCCTTTCCGTCAGTCTTCGGATAAGGACCTCGAACACAATAGTATGAATACACAGAACGGATGCGGTATTTCGGTCTAACCTACGCTAAGAAACTAAACATGTAAACAAATAGTAATTTAATGCTGGGAGTTGTTGACAAGTTTTTTTCCAATATATGTAGTAAAAGTTCACCTAAAATAAGTGATATCATAGGTACAAAAGCAAACAATTCATTATTTATATATTTATTACAATGGTTGTAGAAACCGAAAGTACAAAAAACCAACCTGTTGACATTACGTCGGATTTGTTTAAAATTGAACATCAGTGGGCATATTTAAATTACAAATTGTTGTCAGACATATTTTCAAGCAAACGTGTACCGGAACAGGCATTAGATGTCAAATATATACATTCGTTTTACATTATGTCTGTTTCTGTTTACATCTGAAACCACGTGGTAGAACTACTTTCAATCGTATTGTTTCCGAGGTTAATATTATAGATAATAGCCGAGGCAGTTCCGAATGACTATTTGTTACATATTCAATCACGGAATGTCGTCGGTTATTATTTATAATAACCTTATTCGAAGACTGACGGAAAGGGCTTAAAATGTTGGGACATATTCAATGATATAAAAACGTTTTTAGACCACCGATCTTTAGCACAATTACGAACACAAATGAAGCATGCATGTAGCAGATTTAAAGGCTTTTCATAAAAACTGAGAATTTAATTGATGCGTTATATATGTTGAGGATAATACTTAAAATGTTTACTGTGACTTCTTGCTTTTCGTTCCGGTGGATTCAAATATTATATACAGGTCTTAAAGTTTTCTCTGTTTCATAATTTTAAAGTGACATTTACTAATATTTTCATTGTCAAGATGAGCTGAATTGACTTTATATTTCAAAAGAGTGACTGTTTAAATGATATTTGACCAACAGATTATATTGGAAAATGTTTAAAAATATCTGCCTATAATATAGAAAGACTGCCCCACTCTTTTTATAAATTGAACATAACAGGTACATTTTAAGTTCTTTAATAAGTGAAGATCAAACAGGATTTATTCCAGGTCGGTTCCTTGGTGAAAATGTTAGATTAATTTATGATTTTAATGAATTTTACTGAACAAAATGGGCGTCCAGCAATGTTTTTACTTATTGATTTTGCCACTGCTTTTGATTCTATTTCATGGCAATTTATGTCAAAGGTTTTAGAGTTTTTTAATTTTGGTGAAGACATTAAGTCTTGGATAAAAATTTTCTACAATAACATTCAGTCTTGTGTCACTGTAAATGGCCATTTGTAAACTCGCACCCAAACTAGCATGGCAACCATGTTGTAATGGACACTTTCCTTTCAACTGTGAATGCACTGATCCAAAATATTCGGAAAATTTCACTATGATTATGTAGGTATGTCAAACCATATTTTAACATTGATAGCTTTATGCTATACGTATTCAATTGATTGATATTCCTGATATTTATTGCGATATCTGTGAAAATAACAAAATAATACAAAAATAAATATACATTAATGTAACGATGAGTTTCTTATGTTTTTATCGTTAGCCAGGATGTCAATCAAGTGCATTGTGTAATCATATATTTTATAACTTCATAAATGATATGTAAATTAAACAAAATCACAATTTATTAAAATTTAAGCATAGACATGCTTTGAGTTTTTTGAAGCTAGCATCACAATAGAATGTGTAGGTATAAAAAAGATAAAATAGTCACATGTCCTTTCGTTTGTACCATTCTCTATAAACTTTAACTAGAATTGTTCCATTGCGGTTTGCAATAATAATCGACCTTAATTTGAGGCTCTATTTAATTCCATAACATCAAGAGCCAAATCGTTTTGCTAAATCTGCTAGCAAAAATTATCACAATCCATAAATGTCGTACTCTCTCTCTACTGATTCCCCTTGGCGATAGATCTGTAGTGAAGTACCGGTTATACAGAAAAATGGCTACACAAATCTTATCATTCAGTTTTTAATCTTTATACATTGTATTTTGTTCTCTCGACTTCAATACCATCTTTGACGTATTAATATCATCACGAACTTTGCCATTTAAATTGGCCATCACGTCTTTTCCAGAAGAAACAAAAAAACCCTAATAAAAACACTTCCGGTGTACAATTGTCGACCCATTTTCCTCATATTCTGTTTTACTGACCCACATATCTTGAAAAATTGATAGCGAGGCTATAATTGAGCCTCCAATCCACACAGAGTACTTTCTTCCAGGCGGTGCTACGACTTTGACTATATTTTTTAGAGGAACCAAGGGTTTCAGATCTTGTTCTACTCTTTCTTTCATTCCTACAAAGAATTAAATAACATGATACTGATATTAGTGAATTAAAGAAGAAAAGATGATGTAATTAAAGTTATATTTGAATTAATAATATTGCTGAAAATAATGAATTTTCTAGTTGGATTTATCGTTATGTGTTCGTTCCTTGTATCAGTGTATGCACCGCAAGTTATTTAGTATATTTCCCTGTGAAAGTCTAAACAGTTTTGCATTTATAAAGGCGCACCTGTCAGCTTCCGTCTTTAAAGGATTCGTGGACGTATGAGAACAAAATCGTTTGAATAAGATATGTATATTGCAGATTTTATTTATTTACCTGGGAACATAGTGGACCCTCCCGAGAGGATAATGTTGACGTAATAATGTTTTCTAAGGTCAATGTCACATTTCATAATAGATTCATGTACCATGTTACTGAAACCAAACTGTTCTTTGCCTGAAAATATACAAGATATTTATCTATCAACATGTTAAGATGGGAAAATAAACAAGAGGGGATCATGGCCCTGGGGTCGCTCACCTGTATATAGGCCCCCGGAGCGGGGCCAGTTTAAACCCCAGGGCTTTTATTTCAACAAACTTGGAAGACACTCATTAGAAAGATGTTTCACAATAATAAGTTTTTACTACACACGTGTAATGAAAAACAATGATCTCACCCGCCCCCCGCCCCCCCCCCCCCCGGCAGGGCCAATTTTCACCCAAGGGCTTTTATTTGAACAAAGTTTGTAGACATCCATAAGAAGATATTTCATGCTAAACATCTAAGCTCTAGAGCTCTAGCTCATTGGGTTTTTTAAAAGAAGATTTTTAAGTTTTTACACACTTATATTTTAAAAAAATGACACCCCTGGGGCGGGGCCAGTTTTGACCCCAGGGCTTTTATTTGAACAAACTTTGTAGCCGTTTAATAGAAGATGTTTTATGCTTAATATCTTAACTCTAGCTATTTAGGTTTTTTCAAAGAAGATTTTTTAAGTTTTTACTATATGCATATAGGGAAAATCAAGACCCCCCGGGGCGGGGCCAATTTTGACCCCAGGGCTTTTATTTGAACAAACTTGGTAGACACCCATTAGAAGATGTTCCATGCTGAATATCTTAGCTCTAGCTCTTTGAGTTCTTTCAAAGAAGATTTTGTAAGTTTTTACTATATGCATATAGGGAAAATCAATGACCCCCTGGGGCGGGGCCAATTTTGACCCCAGGGCTTTTATTTGAACAAACTTGGTTCACACTCATTAGAAGATGTTTCATGCTGAATATCTTAGCGCTAGCTCTTTGGGTTCTTTCAAAGAAGATTTTGTAAGTTTTTACTATATGCATATAGGGAAAATCAATGACCCCCTGGGGCGGGGCCAATTTTGACCCCAGGGGTTTTATTTGAACAAACTTGGTAAACACTCACTAGAAGATGTTTCATGCCAAATATCTAAACTCTAGCTATTTAGGTTTTTTCAAAGAAGATTTTTAAAGTTTTTACTATATGCATATAGGGAAAATCAAGACCCCCGGGGCGGGGCCAATTTTGACCCCAGGGCTTTTATTTGAACAAACTTGGTAGACACTCACTAGAAGATGTTTCATGCTTAATATCTAAACTCTAGCTATTTGGGTTTTTTCAAAGAAGATTATTTAAGTTTTTGCTATACAAATATAAGGAAAATCAATGACCCCCGGGCGGGGCCAATTTTGACCCCATGGCTTTTATTTGAACAAACTTGGTAGACACCCATTAGAAGATGTTTCATGCTGAATATCTTAGCTCTAGCTCTTTGAGTTCTTTCAAAGAAGATTTTGTAAGTTTTTACTATATGCATATAGGGAAAATCAATGACCCCCTGGGGCGGGGCCATTTTTGACCCCAGGGCTTTTATTTGAACAAACTTGGTACACACTCATTAGAAGATGTTTCATGCTGAATATCTTAGCTCTAGCTCTTTGGGTTCTTTAAAAGAAGATTTTTAAGTTTTTACTATATGCATATAGGGAAAATCAATGACCCCCCGGGGCGGGGCCAATTTTGACCCCAGGGCTTTTATTTGAACAAACTTGGTAGACACTCACTAGAAGATGTTTCATGCCAAATATCTTAGCTCTAGCTCTTAGGGTTTTTTAAAAGAAGATATTTAAAGTTTTTTCTTTCGGTTGCCATGGCAACCAGAGTTCTGCATGGAATTAAATTCTTTGAACAATTTTTAAAGGTGACCACCAAAGGAACATTCCTGTGAAGTTTGGATGAAATTGGCTTAGTGGTTTATGAGGAGATGTCATTTAAAGTAAAAGTTTACGGACGGACGGACGGACGACGGACAGACGCCGGACGAAAAGCGATCACAAAAGCTCACCCTGTCACTTTGTGACAGGTGAGCTAAAAATAACTGTAAGTTATTAATTTAGTGATTCAAATTTAAATATAAAACAATCCATAACACTCGACATTTTATTTTGGTTATTTTTCACACCGTATTACCGGCGCCAGTGATGGCAGATCACTGCAGTGATGGCAGATAGCTGAAATTTACCGCTCGGTACAGGTAGGTTATAAATTTGGTTGGTATTATTATATTACACAAATACGACCCATTTCATTGCTATGAAACTATTGTCTATTGACTGGAGTTACTATATGCAGGCCTCGACGTTAGCGGTGGTCCGTTGGTCCGAGACCACCTGTTTTTGGCAAGGACCACCTAATTTTAAAAGCCGCTGGTCCGTCGGACCACTTGAATTTTTTGGTTGGTGCAGACTCATTTGGGGGAATGGTGATTTGGTCAAAAACATGTTATAAACATTTTCTTTAAAATCATTTGTCCGATGTACATGTATATGGTTCATTAATTATCTGATTCGTTAAAGAAGTTCTTAAGACATCTATAACTTTCATTTTAAGTCGCTAAAATTTGGTTTATGCAAGTTAAAAGAGTTTAGACTTTGTGATATCAATTAAGGTACAAAATTCATTCAAATGATGCTAATAATTATGCATCGTCGGATACCTACGGTGGAACCAATAACATTTATGTTATATTACATGTTAATTAACCATGGGCATCCGACGATGGTAATTATGATATTGTATGGGATATAAGATAAACTTAAAATGTCATTATACTTAAATAATGGCAGCAAACAAAAGGAACTGGAAAAATACATCTAGTAATTCTTTGCAACTAACTTTATTTTAACTGTTTAACGATAGAGATCCATTTCCTCTAGAGTTAAAATTACTTTAAAAGGTTAAAAAATTATCATGTTAAAATAAATATCAACCAACAAGCAACAGGGAGGTAAAAATTCGGTATTATAAATCTGTGAGAAAAATAAGCTAAACTATAGTTAAATATAACATTAGTATTTTTTTTTATCCTCTAGCTATTTCCTTGTTTTAAGATAATTAAATTAGTTTTATTAAAAATGTTAATGTATAAAAGATACATGTAATTATCATAATTAAAGTCGTACCACATATCAGCATTTGTATATATAATAACAAATTGAATAAGAAAATTACAGACACAAATTGTTTCACTATTCCCTAACTTGAGTTGAGAGAGAAATCACTTCAATATAAAAGTTAACATAAATAAGAGCCCTGTTGTGTTTTTTTGAATGACATATAAAAAACCAAATAACTTTATGATAAAATACCTACTAACTTGCTCTCCTTTATTTCTGATTAGATAAAAATATATATCTAAAATATCTGTTTTCTTAAGGTTAATGATACATCTTTGTCATCAATTTTAAACATATTTTTCTAATTTGCAGTAAAATGACATAATAATAATTGACCATCTGACTCCTGGAAGGACCACCTTAATTTCAAATCTAGTGGTCCGGCTAACCACCTGCTAAAAAAGTAAGTGTCGAGGCCTGATATGGTAATTTTGGACTCGTGCTTTGTTGTTTTTAGACTATTTTGAGCAGGTTAAAAGTGACAGCTTCGGAAAAATCCGTGAAAATGTCTGTTTTTTGTTCAAAATATCTCAAGTTTTAACTAAATGTCAGGATTTCGTGTTATTAATATAGACGTTCATCCATTGGGGTCACGCAAGCCAAAAATCTACCCCGTGAGTCTTTTCTTGAAAGTTTTACAGACGTTCAATCTGGTCCGGTCGAAGAAAAAATGCTGCCGTTGTAGGCAGATCGTTATTTTAAATGCTGCCGTCGATGGCAGAAATACCATGAAAGTGGCTAACATTCTGACAGAAAATCAAGGTCAATCTTTTATCAATTCTTCTATTCTTTGCGTCCATATGCAACCTGCTCAAAATAGTATAAAAACAACAAAGCACGAGTCCAAAATTACCTTATAGTATCCCCAGTCAATAGACAATAGTTTCATAGCAATGAAATGGGCTGTATTTGTGTAATATAATAATACCAACCAAATTTATAACCTACCTGTACCGAGCGGTAAAATTCAGCTATCTGCCATCACTGCAGTGATCTGCCATAACAGGCGCCGGTAATACGGTGTGTTTTCACTCACCACTGGAATCATTCATATGTAATCTAGCATAAAATTCGGAATATTTCATCATCTATTTACTAGGTTACCGCAAAACAACTGTGTGTAAATTTGGTAAGAAGAATTTTAACGAGTAAGACGGCCATGTATATAATTACCCTTGCGTCTCGTATTATATAATAACACAATCTCATATACTAGGCTTTTCTTCTTCAATCCCTCTCGATATGGGCATTTTACGGAAATGCACCTTAAGGTAATGCCATCTTAAGTATCAAGGGTGGCTGCTGAGTATCTCGGGAGGGTGTGGCCTTACAAAGCGCCGTCTGGAGGAACGATGCATTGATTTACAGCCCTCCGGAAAGAACCATGGGACGAAGGAAAAGTCTTTGCGCCAAAAAAGACTGCACCGTGGTTCACAGAAAGGGACCGGCAATGTGCATATATTCTCTGGTGAGTATAAATGAACAAACGCTAGAACTCGGCTTTGTGTTACTGTTCGTTTGTGGCGTCCATTTTGGATACGATGAACGCGACAACTTATGATGATTTCGTAAGATCTACTCATACATTGATTACCTTGACCACCGTTTCAAAAAAGGTTACGAACCTAATAGAGTGTGATCAAATAACGCCTCTGCGCAACGAAATCTTTCACTCCCAATAACAATTTTCTGACCATCCGGAAGTTCATACGTCATATCATTTGCGGAAGTACATTCTGTCGTCTGCAATTCCTTCTGGAAGTCTAGTGCGACATATCCTAGTTTTTCTTTAATATCTCGGACAATTTCCATCTCGGCTGAAATAAAATAATGGTATAAAAACTAATTTTATTTCATGCTTTCCAGTGTTTTATTGTAATATATCAGATGATTGTATTCTGATAAACCACTAGTGAAATTTATAAAATATAATTTTCACTGTAGCCGGACTATATCTGGATGCGGATGAAAAGAAAATCATAACGAAATGGAATAACAGGCAGAAATAAATGCTGTCATGCGTAAATTTTGCTTCTTTAGGAAAAGAAAGTCGATGTCACCATACATCATGTAAAAATGTAACACAATTAGACAAAATTTATCAGAACTATATTTCAAAATTAATGATGTGATGTCATGATGTGATGACGTCACAAAGGAGAATGCGCGACGTTACGCGGCAAAATCAGTAAAAAAATACTTAAAATCACTTAAAAAGCATGAAATAAAAAGAAAATTTATTTGTTTTACATATAAGATTGAAATATATTTCATTCGTGAACACCAGCTATTATATTTTCACTCGTGGCTACGCCACTCGTGAAAATATTGCATCTGGTGTTCACTCAGTGAAATTATATTTCAATCTTACATGCAAAACAAACAAATATCCTCTATGTTACTCTACAGTTTAGATTTGAATCTGAGAAGTAAATGTAAATGACCTTGACATTGTTTGACCAAATGTGAACAGCCGTGAATCATATCTACTTCATTGTAAAATATTCGATTTTGGTATAATTATATTTATAACTTAATAGATGTCAATGAAAAATACATGGCTGAGCCTTGAATTTTGCTACTTTAAGGATGATACGAAAGTAAATAAGGTTTATTCTGCCAAATGTATATGTTTGTTGAGCTTTAAATAAGTTTGATAGATTTAAATACTTTATGTTTGCGTTGATATTTTCAATAACACGTGATGACTAGTATTTATACCGGAAGTGTTGAAACTATATCCGCTTTTTTGTAGAAGTTTGGCTAAGTAGTGTGTCAGATCCCTCCCTGCGACGTCAGTTCTCAAAATGGCGTTAGGTATAGGATAAACTGAAATAAATCAAATAGTTTGTGTAGGAATACATCGAACATTATCAATTTATATTTAAACTTTGAAGAATATTTTGAAAAAGTTTTGAAAACTAATTGTACAAACCATGCAAATCTTCTTTTGTTCGAAGTAAAATCAACATGACAATGATCGAATTCTAGTTTTTGAATATAAGCTGATCCTGTGTTGGTTTACATGCCAACAGCGTCATCCTATTCACGTTATGTTCTTCAAAATTTAGGAAATAAAGCAGGAGGTAGGTAATGACTTAACTTGTCACATCTTTATTTTGATTAGCTTTAGTGAGAATGTACAGGTTTGGAAAACGATAAAAGCGATCAAGTCCTGCACATCCCAAAGCAAAAAAAATATAAAATCATACCGTAATTACATAAGTTGTATAATTAATAACAGTTGCATGAGCTTAAAACTTTGGAAAATGATATTTCCTCATACAATTACAGCAGCCGTGTTTGTAAATATGAACGTCATGATTATTCAATGAAAAGCTACGTTACAAACATGCAGCATTATAATAATTATATGGATATTAATATATGTTATTTGGGTTTTGGAGTGATATAGAAATCTATATGGATATATTACCTGCTAAGATTTTATATCACCCGAGCCGTTAGGCGAGGGTGATATTTTATCTTGGCAGGTAATATATCCACATATATCACTCCAAAACCAAAATAATAATTTTATTACCCTTCCCCTGCCGAGTTTAGACGATGTTTTAAAAAATCATTTGCTGTTTTCAAATGAACGTCGAAATAAGATTCCCTTTAGGGTACCTCTTCATCAAAACATGACGTCACATAAGTACATGACGTAATTTTCCCGTACCTAACAAATGTAAACAAGAGAAAAGAGTAGTCTATTGAACGCACTTTTTTGTAATTAATATCAAGCGCTTTCACAATGTCATATTTCTTTTTAATACTGATGGGAATATGTATCATTACTCTTCTTTGGTAAATATTAATCATTTGACAGTTAAAAAGTGCTTGTAAATCGGAATTTACACCGCGTAAAATCGAACCGTACGCGCATCACCTCAGCGCATGTTGTTTACAACGTTGGGTACCCAACGGGGAAATTTAGTGTGTATATTACCCGTCTGGCTTATATCAATTTCTCTAGGGTGATCAATATCCAATCAAAAAGGCGGAAAAATCTGGAAGGGTAATAAATATATATATATATATTTTTTTTTTTGGGGGGGGGGGATTGTTTAAATTAACTTACTGCCTTCAACAGGAACAATATGAGTGACGCCATCACCAGAATCTATTACGACACCAGCATGCCTACCTGATGCAAATATTGTAAGTACTGCCTGGATACTCACGTAAAATGCTGGGGTGTTGAATTTCTCAAACATTATCTGTAAAATAAGTATGACTGTATAAAACAAAATAAGCCGCTAGATTACATGACTTTAAACCACTATTTGACATGGTCTTTTATCTTTTTGCAAACGCATGTTATATAATTACTTATATTATTATACCCCCGCACAACGAAGTTGTAAGGGGGATATACTGGAATCAGCTTGTCCGTCCGGACGTCTCCCCGTCCGGCCGTCCGTCGGGTTTTCCTTGTCCGCCAAATAACTTAAGATTCCTTTGACCCACAGTCTTCATATTTAGCATGCAGGTTAGTCATGGCAAGAAGATGATCCCTATTGATTTTGAGGTTGCTGGGTCAAAGGTCAAGGTCACAGGGGCCTTGAATTAAAAAAGCTTGTCCGCCCAATAACTTAAGATTTCATTGACCCATAGTCTTCATATTTGGCATGCAGGTTAGTCTTGACTAGTAGATGACCCCTATTTATTTTGAGGTAATTGGGTCAAAGGTCAAGGTCACAGGGGCCTTGAATAAAAAAGCTTGTCCGCCCAATAACTTAAGATTCCTCTGATCCACATTCTTCATAATTGGCATGGAGGTTAGTCATGACTAGTAGATGCCCCCTATTGATTTTGAGGTCACTGGGTCAAATGTCAAGGTCACAGGGGCCTTGACTAAAAAAAGCTTGTCCGCCCAATAAATTAAGATTTATCCTGTCACTTGTATCAATTTCGGCCCGATAACAAGGTGCCGTATATTTTTACTGATGTACGGCACTTGATCACGTGGTATGCATGTTTGCCGGACTACTTTTCAAGAAAAAATATAAAAACTGTCGTTAAATCTTCTGTATGTAGAATAACGAATTTTGGAAACGTTGATAAAACTTTGTTTGTTTATTTTATTTCACTCTATAATTTTTCAAGCGAAATAAAAATTATTAAAAGTGAAATAAATGTAAAACTTAACTTGTTTGCGACATTAAAATAGCGTACTTGATTTGATTGTTTTGCACGTGCTGTTTGGCGCTACATTGTGACGTCACGTAAACAATACTTTAAACGTCTGTACAGCGTTAACGACTGAATAAAAGATATTGGTGTTCGAATTCATTTTCTTAGTTAGACCATTTTCTTCCATTCTAGATAGTTTCACAACAAAATTCGACAAAAAATTGTTTTTATTTATCACATTTTTCAAACAAAATGGCGCCCTCAATGTGAAAATACACAGGGAGATAATAAGAACGGCGAGTGCATAGTTGTAGAATAATGCAAGCTTCGGGCCTTCTTTGTTTATATATAAACATTTCCGATAGTGTGATTAAAGGTAGTTTGCCTAATAAAATTCTTTAAAAAAAACAGTGACAGGATAAATAGAATAATAGATTGGTGCCCTGGATGGAGAAAGTTTATCTGGCTCTGCTCCGGAATTTATTGGGTTCTAATAAACTAATTGTGCACCCCTGGTCGCCGATTTGTTTTTGTACTGCTATGAAAGAGACTTTATGTTGAGTCTCTCTGAAGAGAAACAACAAGATGTTATAGTCGCATTTAATAATACTTCCAGATACCTTGATGATATTTTTAATTTAGATAATCCTTATTTTGATCAAATGGTGTCTGACATTTATCCGCATGAACTACAACTTAATAAAACGAACTCTTGAAATTTTAGTACATCATTTTTGGATCTTCATATTACTATCAACAACAATTCTATTCACACGAAAATTTATGATAAAAGAGATGACTTTGACTTTTGTATAGTTAATTATCCACATTTGGATGGAGACGTACCCCATGCAACATCCTACGGGGTTTATGTTTCTCAGTTAATTAGATTCGCTAGAGCTTGTAACAACGTAAAGGATTTCAACGAGCGGAATATTTTTATTACCAGCAAGCTTCTAAAACAGGGCTACCGCTATCATAAATTACGGAAATATTTTACTAAATTTTACAATCGTAACTTTGATTTAATTTCTAAATTCAATAGTGATTTAAAAACTCTTCTGCGACAAGGGATTAGCCAGCCTGGTTTTTATGGCGATGTGGTTTACAAACTTCGTAAGATTTTGGGTCATGGTAATTTTTCTGCTGTTTTTACTAAAATTATTAAACGTTTTTTTTAAAAGAGGTTATGACCCTACTATTTTAAGACATACTGCATGTTTAGTGTTCAACCCTTTTACAGTTGGACACTACGCTTTCCTCTTTTGATTGCATCTGACGGACCAAGTGGGAGACTCTATGATGGATAGTTCGTAAAGCCCTTTGGGACTGAATTGTCTTAATGTTCGTCTTCTGCCTTGCTTCGTCGGGCCCTTGTAGGTGATTTTCTTGTTGCTCTGTCTTCCTTTAGGACATTGAGTACTTTTGTTATGGTCATTGGGTTTACTTTTATATGTTTCTACATGATCATTTTAGTGTTTTACTTATTTAACCTCTTGTAACCATGACAACTGTTAGAATTTCACTTGGCGGGGATTCATTTTATTTACACTGTCTCGTTTATAGGAACATGGTGGGGCTAAGAGCGAGGTTTGGTGCACCATTAACCGGTTTAAACTCCCCAGCAGTCATTATTATGCTGCTGACCGTTCCAATCTTGTTTTTCATATTTCGCCTTCGGCTCACGCAATAAATTCACGCCAGATAAACTTTCTCCATCCACGGCACCAACCTATTATTCTCTATTTCTTTGACCCAGTGTCTTCAAATTTGGCATGCAGGTTAGTCATGACTAGTAGATGACCCCTTTTTATTTTGAGGCTGCTTGGTCAAAGGTCACAAGGGCCTTGACTTAAAAAACTTGGCCGCCCAATAACTTAAGATTCCTTTCACCCACGGTCTTCATATTTGGCATGCAGGTTAGTCATGACTAGTAGATGACCCCTATTGATTTTGAGATTGCTGGGTCAAAGATCAAGGTCAAAGGGGCCTTGACTAAAAAAAGCTTGTCTGCCAAATAACTTATGATTCCTTTGACCCGCAGTCTTCATATTTGGCATGGAGGTTAGTCATGATTAGTAAATGACCCCTATTGATTTTGAGGTTGCTGGGTAAAATTTCAAGGTCACAGGGGCCTTGACTAAAAAAACACTTGTCCGCCCAATAACTTAATATTCCTTTGACCCACAGTCTTCATATTTGGCATGGAGGTTAGTCATGATAAGTAGATGACCCCTTTTGACTTTGAGGTCACTGGGTCAAAGGTCAAGGTCGATGGGACTTTGACTTCAAAAGTTTGTCCGCCCAATAACCTAAGAAACCTTTTACCCACAGTCTTCATATTTGGTATTGAGGTTGTTTATGACTAGAAGATGGCCCCTATTGATTTTTAGTTGACTGTGTCAAAGGTCAAGGTCACAAGGATTTTTACTATAATGAGTTTGTCTGCTCAAATGCTTAAGAATGCCTGTCCGCAGTGTATTGATTTTGACATTTTCACATTTAAAACATGTAGAATGCATAACTTAGCAATGCACTGGCTTAGTAACCTCAGATTTTGCAGGGCGGTTGTCCTTGAGCTCTAAATGGCCATTGTTGATTCTGACAAAGTGGTATGCGGGGGTATTCACGCCATGACAGTGGCAGTTCTAGTTTATGTTAATGTGAATTGTTTAAAGTAACTAACCAACATAAGATGTTTTGAGCTTTTTAACAAAATGTAATGACGACAATAGGAAAAATTCATTAACGCGAAACTAGATTATTATCAACAAAAATACCAGATTATATAAAAGTTATAGAAATGTTATCATGCCCATCAAGTATATGTAGAAGCGTAGGAATTCCCACAGCCTGCGTGCAAATCAATGGCAGAAACAAGTACCAATGTAATTAAATGAACAACTATATTTTTAGTAAAAACAATTGAAAGATACGAATAAGCGCCTACGGCTTCTAAAAGACTATATTTAAACTCTAATCAAAAACATTAAAAATAAAAATTTATTTAAATATTTACAGGAAATTCATTCGTGAGTATGATGACTTGATACTGTATTAAAGGTGACTTGCTTTCTTCAATAATTTTTATTTTGACACAGACTCAGACACAATTTGACTGAGACATTTTTTATGAAGATTTCACTGACACAACTTCGGCTTTATATGCTTCCTTTGAGTATGATAACGACACAATGTCAAAAATATGTGCCTGATATGTTTTACTTATTCATATCAAAAGACGTCTTCAATACGGTATTAAGGCCATCATTCTAACGAACGATCTTGAGACTTTGTCCTGAAAATATTTTATATAGGAAATATATAGGAAGACTTATATTAAAATGAAATGTGAAATCAAACAGTTAATTAAATTTCTAAAAAGTCTACTACCTGCGCCATCTTTCCTTTATTAGCTTTAGGATTAAGTGAAGGTTCCGTCAACAGGACAGGGTGTTCCTCTGGTGCAGCATGGAGCTCGTTATAGTATGTATGGTGCCAGATTTGTTCCATATCGTCCCAGTTGGTAATAATTCCATGTTGTATGGGATAACTAAGGGAGAGAATTCCTCGTTTCCTTTGCGCTTCGTCTCCAACATACGTGTCTTTCATATCTACAGCTGACATTTCAGTCTGAAACGTATGAACCTCCAAAGTATATATTTATTCACGCAAGTACCATTAAAACCGTCCATATTTGTGGACGTGAAAGAACCGCTGGTTACTTTTGTAACGGAGGCTCTTTTGCACTGTCCTCCGAAATCGTAGATTCTGAAGGAGATATTGGTTTCCTGTTTCGACTTTAAATAAACGTATTTAGTAAAAATATCATTTATATCACTGACACAGTGAACTGCTCTTTGTTTTCTTATGAAACCCGTTATATGTTGAGCCGTAGCAGGCGGTAAAGGTGGTCTTCGATCTCAGCCGAGTCTGTTTTAAAGATTGCTTAAGGATCCCATTAAAAAGACGACAACGCAATGTCAAGGGGGCTACTTTATTATAGAATGACCTAAACATTTGTTACAGACATCGAAAGACATCACTCATAATTTATATATGCTTAGTGTATTATATTAAATTTGTATTGCAGATTATTTAATATATACAAAAATACGCCGCTGATTTTTAAATGAAGTTGAATGAATTTTCCTTTATAGACAGGAGTGGTCTTACCTCATATTTCGGACGCCCTATTAGGGACGGAAAAGAGCAGATCGGGGCGTCATCACCGGCGAAACCTGCCTTACACATGCCAGACCCATTGTCAATAACGACTGCATATTTCTCTGTATCGTCCATATGCTGCTAGACTTCATGTGTTAAGCTGTCTAATAAAGCACAAACTTTGGGTGTTATATGTCAATGAAAAATAATATATAAAATATCACTAGTAGAACAGACAGTAAAATGAAGATTCTCAAATTTATCTCAGACAGGTGAAAAAGAATACTTTCAAGTTTGACGGCAAATTTATTCATAAAATATTCTTCAGTCGCTAAATACAAAATAAACGTTTGATAATAATAAGAAACTTGCATCAAATCAAATAGTACACTTAGGTTTACATAAATACAATGTATACAGTTAATGTTAATCTATGCGTACCTCTTCCTACACGCATGATTTAAAAGTGAATGGTAGATTTACTATATTAAAATTATATATAAGTAAAATATCTAACTTGCCGTATATAAGCAAAAACGCTATTTTAAATTTGCCGTAGCTTTCGGCCTTGCGGCCTTCTTCAGCAGCATTTATTTTACATACAAATATATCAAACAAAACAATGGAAGTGACGTAACGTCAATGAACGACGCCCGCCGTGGCGTTGTTTGCCGTCTGCCGCGTTATTCTTTGGTATAAACTCCATACGGTCTATATAGGTTCTTAATTTATTTTTCCACAAATTTTCTATTGTTTTTCTGTATTGGTCATTCCCGTATAGCTAGCTTTTCCAGCCCCATTATTGAAAAATCATTAACTGTGTGGTCGTGCGTGTAAAAATGCGCCGCTAACGGATCGTTGTACTTGGTTCGTATTCTGGATAAATTTAGAAGTTGTCTTTGGTACAACGTATCCCCTGTTTCTCCAACATAAATACAACGTTCGCAACGCTTACAATAAACTGCATACACAACGTTCGTAGATCTATTTGCACGTGATCTGATTTCGAACCCCGTTCACACCAATGAATGTGTCTGCTTCATAACGTACGGACAAATCGCACACTTTTTGGATCTGCAAGGAGCACAGGAATTCGGCTGTTGAAAAAATAGTTTATTGTGTTTCTTATGAACGAGAATGTCTTGTAGGTTATTATCTCTTCTAAATGCCGCAATTGGAGGATTCGGGAATATTTCCTTCATTCTATCTGAGGTGTGTAATTCAGGTAGGTGTTTTCGTACTATTTGACCTACATTCGGGAGCGCTCTGGAAAATGTCAGTACCAAGGGGATTCTTTCAGTGTTTTCTTTATCTTCATTATACTGTAATAGGTCACTTCTTTTCTTACTATCTACTTTATTTAATTCTGTTTCAATATGTCGATCTTCATAGCCTCGTTTCTGTAACTGAGTTTTAATATTATCTCTATGTTGTTTGTAAGTCGATTCATTAGTACATATTTGCTTAACACGGAGGGCAAGTCCATATGGTATTGATGTTTTTGTCGATTCCGGATGAGACGAATTTTTATGCAAGTACAGGTGTTTATCTGTGGGTTTAGTGTATAGGTCAGTTATTAAAATGCCATTCTGAATCTTCGTCATTACGTCGAGAAACTCAAGTTTTTCAGCTGAATATCTTAATTCTAATTTTATTCTGGGATGAAGGCTATTCCCAAGCTCGTGGAATGATTTTAACGACTCGATACCGTGAATCCAAAGGCCCCAAACGTCATCAACATACCGGAAATACTCAAGCGGAAGTTTATCTGTTGTGATTCCCATGATCCAAGATATGTAGATGCGTAATTCATCCCTAATCGTGAGCCAATCGCTGTTCCTTCTGTCTGTGTGAATTTTCTTCCATCAAATGAAATAGTGTTATTTTCAAGGACAGTGTCCATCATATTCAGAACATCTTCTGTGGGTATGCTAGGGTTGGCACGTTGATTTAATGCACGTGCAACCGCATCTCGTGCCTCTGCTCGTGGGACACTTGGGTACAGTGCTTTCACGTCTAAACAGAAAAGAATTGTTCCTGCCGGAAGTGGTTGTTTAATATTCTCTAATTTTCTTAAAAAATCAGTGGTGTCTTTAATATATGAAGGAAGTGATGTCACATGGGCGCGTAGCTCCATTTCTACTATTTCTGCCATTTTCTCCGTAGGATGATTTCTCCCATTTACTATTGTTCTCAATGGCACCCCTGTTTTATGCAGTTTCGGATTACCTTGCAGTTTACCCGATGTACCAACAGACGACGTCAAATATCCTTTTAAATCTTTTGAAATTGATCCTTTTTTGCACATATCATCTGCCATCTTTTTCACTTTCTTTTCAATAGTTTTTGTTCTATCTTCGTTCACCTCCATATAAGTGGCATTGTCAGTCATCTCGGCCTGAAGTTTACTTCTGTAGTCCTTTGTATCCATAACAACGATACCAGACCCCTTATCCGCCGGACGTATAACTAAAATATTATTATTTAAGAGCTCTTTCATTGCTTGTTCTTCAGTTCTTGTAATATTTGTTTTGAATTTTCTTTTTAGCCCATTAATTATATCATCTTTAACTTTTACGTAGGACTTTATAAGTCCTACGTAGGACTTTTTAATTCCTACGTAGGACTTTTAAACTCCTACGTAGGACTTTGTAATTCCTACGTAGGACTTTGTTACTCCTACGTAGGAGATAAAAAAGCCTAATTAGGAGTTTAAAACTCCTACGTAGGACTTTTAAACTCCTACGTAGGACTTTGTAACTCCTACGTAGGACTTAGTAACTCCTACGTAGGACTTTTTTAACTCCTACGTAGGACTTTGTAAGTCCTACGTAGGACTTTGTAACTCCTACGTAGGAGATAAAAAAGTCTAATTATGAGTTTATACTTCCTACGTAGGACTTTATAACTCCTACGTAGAAGAACACTTATAAAGTCCTACGTAGGAGTTAAAAAAAGTCCTACGTAGGAGTTACTAACGTGTGAAAAATCATGATTGACCTCGAATAAGTGACATCCTGTATTATGCCATGCATACATGTGTATGATTCAATGATCGGGCCTCATCCAAATTTCGAACATAAATAATGCACGCTTGGAATCTACACGGCAGCCATAGGCGACACCTTCGCGATTACATTTATTACCCTATAGTCGTTGAAAGGATATCACACTTTTTTAGTTGTCTTTAAAAGGTATATATATATATATCGGTCTTAACACTTTATCACGTCTATATTAACTTCGATATCTTTTATATGTAAAAAATCATAGACTACGCTCCTCCTAATACGTCAAATTAATATCGCCTTGCGCTCAACATCGAACCTTTTGCTCCATCACTTGCCCTTTCGCTCCACTACTTTCGAAAAATATTGATTTACAAATTTAAGAAATCCTTCAGGAGTAATTTATTTTGCACGAAGGACAAGTTCTTATTACGGGTTGATAATTTACTAATACACTTTTTCAAGAAATCCGAAGGGTATGGCATTTCTATGGTTGGGAAGTTCAATATTCTACAAATCATCGTTCGCTTCGTGAGGGAGAAAAGTTCTCTCGGGCTTAATATAATTTTCTTTTTGTAACAGCTTAGATCATTGGAAGCCTAAATCATTCCTACACGGAACTACATTTTCCGTTTTTCGAAAAAATACAACTTAAATGAATAACAAGACAAAAACATAAACAATACTTACAATTAGGCGTTTAAATCGGCCTTCCGCTCTATCTCGGAAATGCCGTTCGCTCGTTTTACCGTACACCACAATTTTGAAGTGGAGCGACAGTTTGCCGGGCGTGAGTAAGTACTGCCTGGATACTCACGTAAAATGCTGGGGTGTTGAATTTCTCAAACATTATCTGTAAAATATGTATGACTGTATAAAACAAAATAAACTACAAGATGACTCTTTAACCACCCTTTGACATGGTATTTTATCTTTTTCAAGCGCATGTTATATAATTAGACCAATGTCAATGTGAATTGTTTAAAGTAACTAACCACAGATGCTTTGAGCTTTTTAACAAAATGTAATGACGACAATAGGAAAATTCATTAACACGAAACTAGATTATTATCAACAAAATACCAGATAATTGAAGTTATAGAAATGTTATCATGCCCATCAAGTATATGAAGAAATGTAGGAATCCCCACAGCCGTGAAAATCAATGGCAGAAACAAGTACCAATGTATATTAAATGAACAAATATATTTTTAGTAAAAACAATAGCCCATTTCACTACGATTTCTCACGAAAATTAGCGAAGTGCTACGATCAGATTCCGAGCATATAATCAACTGACCAATCAAATGCTGGTGGATGCATGTACAATCTATTACTAATAATAGTAACATAAAAGTAAACAAAGGAAATTTACATGGCGGATTCTTATCACAAAGTTGAAATATTTCGAGAAATATGCCGTTATACTGCATAGTTAACTCATTGACGATAATGCATCAGTTTTAACTTTCTCTCCTATACCACGGTGATTGGGCGATTACCACAACTTTTCCGCGCAACGTCAAAATATCTTACTTCTGTCCGAGACACCGTATATTTCTGTGGTACAAAATGGACAGCAAGCCTGTAACCGAGACGAAAACAGCATGTAATTTGCTCAAAACAAGGTAAAATCATCATTTTTTTCTTTTTCATCGAATGTGCCATTTAATTTGAAACTTATTTATCTTTACTACATGCAAAATGCTTCATTAATTAAGTCAGGATAGTGAAAACATTTAGGGTATACTGAAAAAAATCTTGCTTTGATTACGAAATATAACGTATTTCTAGTCCGTTCAGTTCATATAACTGGTCAAAATACAATATAAATATGTACATTATTGTCGTATGAACAACTTACAATACATAAATAACCCGTTTTTTGTATATTTTTTATGATTTTTATGTTTCCGCGTGTGTATTTTAAGGCACCGCACAACTTTGTCAATCATAAGATTAGGGCACCGCATTATTCCTCCTTAAAATCACCGCATTTTTCTGTCTTTTTAGCACCGTTGATTTTTGATATTAATGTTTGCTTTCAGAAAAAGAAGACGTTCAAACCTATGTCTGAACAAGCCAAAGCAACGTGAGGGTACTGTTTGCCAGTCATGCGCTCTTGTTAGGGGCCGTCTGCACCTATCCAAGTCTTGAATGCAAGTATCATATTCTCTTGTATTGGATAGTGTAGACACCCTACTTGAATGAGTTTTAAAGAAAAATTATGTGACATCCAAGAAGATAATTCCTTGCAAGAAAGTTAGAACATGTTCTATTTTTCTACAAGTTTTTGGCTGTCAAGACACTGATAACACCGATCACCGGTATGACACAAAACATGTGCCCGAAGGTTTGATAGTGCTGTTATTTTTATTATTTTCTGACTTTTTGGTACATGCCCTTTGAATTTCAGTAAATGATTACAATGTACTCTTGGTCAAAGGAACAAATCAATACGCTGATACACAGAAGAGCAAAAAATAAATAAATAAATAAATAAAAATAAATACATTGTAAAAAAATAAAAAAGAGCTCTTTTTCAAGTAGAGTCAAAATGGATTTAAAATGATCTTGTTCATTTAGTGAATAACTTTCATCAAATAAAGAATTTGCATCAAAATAAATTTTTGTCACATTTTTTCAATTTTAAAAAAGAAATTTCATTTACTCCATTTTGTTTTAGCTAATTGCATCATTTTCCCGCTTTTTTCACATATTTTACCGAAACATGATAGTCTTGCAAAGACAAAGGTATAAATCCTGGGCTATCTTAATGAGACATTTCAGTAAAAATTGTGCCTGAAAAAAATGTTGAAAGGGCCATTTATTTAGCTTATCTAAATGTGACATGTAAGAAACTTGAATAGGTGTAGACACGGCCTTATATTGGAATTATTAATTCGAGGGCCTCAGTCGCATAACGGCGAGCAGCATTCAAGTAATTATGCCGGCAATACGGCGTATAGACATCGCCGCTTATCTTGGTTGTCGCCCTTTATTAGAAACGGACAGTTGTCAATATAAACAAATAGAATCTGTCATTCAGTTTAATCCCCCGATTAACTTACAAAAATGGAAAGCACAAAATGAATATAAGAAAAAGTTGTTTTATTGACGTTTATATTGATAAATGTTCTGTATGTTTCTTTGAGAGAATAATGTTTTATGCCTGATTTTTTTTAAGCTTGCGTGCTTAAAAAAACCGATTCTGAAATTGAATATGATGTCACTGATCTTTTTCCTACCGCCAATCTGTAATCATTCTAGGAATTTCTGAGGCGCCTGTTTTGTCTTGGGTAGAGTAATGTTATGTTTTTCTTAAGTTAATATATCTCCAAAGTTAAACTTTGTTAAATCAATTAAAATTCGAAATTTCGTTCGGTTCTCAAGTTGTTGGCCCCGGAAAAAATAAAACGCATACGTAAAACATGTAAGAGTTGGATAAATACCGTTCAAGCACAAGGATTTTATGTTTGTGTTTTGTATATAATAAAAATCATGAATCTGTTTTAAAATTTTATGCTATAATAGCGTCAACGCACGTTTATTTCGTGTTATAAAGTCTGCAGAGTCCCTCGGAACTGTTGGAGCCCTCGCCCTACCGGGCTCGGGCACCAACCGTTCCTCGGGACTCTGCAGACGTTATATAACACGGAAAAACGTGCGTTAACCCTATAATGATGTCAGATATGTTGGCATACATAGGTTTTATTCTAAGTTATTTTGTATCATTTTCTATTGTTTGTTTGTTTGATTGATTTATGTTTTATGATTCACCGACACAGTATATGTCATATGGCGACTTTCCAGTTTAACTGGTGGAGGAAGCATCTCTCATGAAAGGTCCTTTTCGAGATTTGAACCCACAGCGGGGAGTGGCAAGTGGTAAGAAGTCAAAGATCTTAACCACTCAGCCACGGACCTGAGTAAAATCACCAACGTTCCGTAAGTCAGCTGGATAGATTACTAACATGAAAGAATCCGAAGACCTTTACGGGATTTGAACCAACAACGGGGAGGGGCAAGTGGTTAGAAATCAACGACCTTAACCATTCGGCCACGGACGCATTTTCTATAAGCTCGAAGGGTTAAAATAATGTACATGTCGCCCATTCTCAATAAAATAAAGCATTTGAGGTTGAAAAATATTAAAAATTTGATGTTGTCATTGTGTCATTTTTTATCACTGAAGTAAAAGTTTAGGGTATTTTGCAAGTTTGCCAGAAATATTTTGAACAAGAAACTATGATATAACAGGATGGCATTTATTTCGGTAATAACACTGTATTTCTTCGGTAACGTAGATTTCAGATCTAATAATGTAACAATATTGGCTGCATATTAATAACAAATGTCTGTAAAATATATCCAAATCTGTAAATTCTCTATCTAGAGGGACTTTCTAACCCAGGAAAATTTAAAGAAGTTGGGTACCTTGCTAATTTTCAGTCAATTTCTTCAAAGTTAAATATTCGTAGAAAGCAAAAATAGTCAATTTTGGAAATGATTATTTTATGTCTTCATTCAAAGGATATATATCATATATAATATATGAGAGGTCAAATGCATACCGTGACGGTGACACATTTTGTATTAGCATTTTTTTTTCAAAACATTCAACTTTCCACTTTCTTAATATTTGGAAAATTTAGTACTAAATTAGCAGTTCGATATTTATCCCCATACAGGATGTCACGTATGTTTCATTTTATTCAAATGCAAGTAAAGGTTGAGAAAACAATTTTAGTTTTTGTAAAATAATTTATATTTATGGATATTATTTTAACATTATTATATATAGAATGAAATACGGCCAGTAAGCTCTTTTCAGAAACGAATTAGTTGTTGCTGAGAACATCAATATCTTGTAATATATTTTCAACATTTCTGCTGGTACATCAACATATTATTAACATATCTTTCCTTTGTAAAAACAATTTTGTGTCTTCTTACATCTAATACAAGGTAACCGTTACTAACAGGCATGCTAATCCCAACTTTATCTTTAATTTTCAAAAATTGTTGAATTGTAAGTTGGAGTAACGTATGTTTCACACTCGCTTATTTATGAACTTTATCACGGAATTTAAACTTACATGTAAAATCGACTTTTTTTATTTAGGAATCAAATGCACATCATTCTATTGTCATAAAAATGCGATTTTATGTTTTTATATATGCATGTGTAAACAATATAAAGTCTGTTTGATAAATTAGTAACGTTTGTTTCACTGTGGTTACTTAAACAAGTAAAAACTCGACCAAAGTTAACAAAATTTACTTACTAATGTCAAATAGAAGTTAATGTTGCTGTTATACGTGCTTTCTGACTTCAAATTTCCTTTTGATAAACTTACATTAAAAAGTTGATAACGTATGTTTCTGTAACGTATGTTTCATTTTTACATTGAAAGTGGGTTAAAAAATGACGCAAGACCATTTAAGCCGCCATAATTTGTGGTTAATATATCAAAGTTACACACATGTTAATTTTCTTTCTTGTTTGGAATCTTCTTTGAATGGATTGGCTCTTAAATAATGGTAACGTATGTTTCTTTTTAAAGTGCTGTTGAAAAGATTTGAATAAAAAATGAAAATTTCCGAAAATAGAATGATATTTGAGAGGCTGCAAGGTTATTTTTACTTATAATTATATATATGCTGTATTATTAAGCATGCATCGATTCAATTATGTAATTTGGGTTTCACTTCTTATTGTTTTAGGTTTGTCACTATTTATTTATATGCATTTGGCGACATTTGATCATCCATTATACCAATGAGATTTTAACAGTCAAATATAATTTTTACCAATAATCAAAGTTCATATACACACAGCAATGACTAATTGCACATGTTTCGTTTATTCTGGAACTTATTTTTCTGAAACACAATTTCAAAGTTGAAAATTCTAGGTGGTGACAGTAACGTATGTTACATTTTAGGGCATTAATGGTACTTGTAAAAGAAAAATAACAGATAGAAATGTAAAACTGAGAGTGTCTAACGACATTTTGACCTCAAGAAAAACCTTCGTATAAGAGCTACCCAGTGGAACATCAAATGCTGTGTTTTATTGAGAATGAGCGATGTATGAGATAAGCTTCGCCACACTGTGAGACAATATCAAATAGGCAAAGTCTTCATATTTCACAAAGTGATTGGTCATAATTAGTAGATGACCCCTATTGATTTTAGGGTCACTAGGTCAGAGGTCAAGGTAACAGGGTTTTTGAATGTAAGTATAGTTTTCGCTCATTATCTTGAAAGCTGTTTATCACAAAGTCTTCGAATGGTTTCCGCTGATTATCTTAAAAAGTATTCATCACAAAGTCTTCATATTAAAATAATGATTGGTCATAACCAGTAGATGACCCTTATTGATGTTTGGTCACTAGGTCAAAGATCAAGGTCTCAGGGGCCTCAAATGTCATAATGGTTTCCGCACATTATCTTGGTCACAATTCATTATAAAGCATAGTGATTGGTCATAACTTGTAGATGTCATTGATTGGCTAGAAATCTCGGCTTATAGGGGTTGGATTTTCGGCCCGGTTCAGTCTTCTTATGGTTTTAAAAAGTACAAGCCGTTCTTTTTCAAAAAAGGGGCCCCTACCATTATGTCCCTTGAATAACCTTTTTTCATTTTCCTTAAGTTTGAAAATGGAAATATGGATTTTTTCTTAATCATCTTGGTCAGACTATATCCCCCCACAAAAAAATCTTATATATTCCAAACATATTATTGATTTGTCACAACTAGTAGATGACCCCTATCGATTTTGGGGTCAGCAAGTGAAAGGTCAAAGTCCTTGACTGGTTGTTTGATTTCAGCCCATTATCTTGAAAGATAATTATCACAAAGTCTTCATATTTGACATAGTGATTCACCTGTCATAACCAGCAGATGACCCGTATTGCTTTTGGGGTCACTAGTTCAAAGGTCAAGGTCACATGGGCCTTAAAGATCAGATGGTTTCCGCTTATCATTTCTAAAACTATTTATCACAAAGTCTTCATATTTCACATACTGATTGGTCATAAAATTTATTAACTAGTAAGTGACTCCTATTAATTTTTGGGTCACTAAGTCAAAGGTCAAGGTAACATGGTTCTTGAAAGTAAGTATGGTTGTCGCTCATTATCTTGAAAGCTATTTATTTCAAAGTATTTATATTTCTAATATTGATTGACCATAACTATTAGATGACCCCTATCGATTTTGGTCACTGGTTCATAGGTCAAGGTCACAGGGCCTTAAATGTCAGAATGGTTTCCGCTCATTATCTTGAAAACTATTTATCTTAAAGTCTTCTTTGTTTTCCTCTTTTCCATAATTGAACACTTCCATGTACACATTTATGGCAAGTTTCTATAACAAAATTACCAATAATGTGAGTCAAGGGCTAGAAAAGGGGCATATGTGTCGTTCGACATTTCTTGTTTATTTATTTATTTGTTCATTTATTTATTTTTTTTTAATTTATTTATGTATCTATTTATTTATTTATTTATTTTAAAGTTATTGTGAATTTTGTGTACAGGAAATGTTTTGTTATTATCGTATCAATTTAATAACATTAAACAGGAACTCGGGTTGCGACTAGTATTTCCGATACTGTGAAATGGCTTTTTGAGATATGTTTTTTTACATTTACATGTACAGTAGACTTTAATTTCTTACATGTATTTTTTTATCTTTCAAGTGTCCGGCCTCTAGAAATATAATTTCATATCTAATTAACATATTTTATTTTGACCTGTGTTGGCTTTAGCATCGATGTAATCTGATATCATCAAATACCTTTTAAATAAACCGTAAAATTTTACCGAGTTTAAACCAGCAGATCAACTAATGTATTGGGACGCACACAACCCTTCCGATAATATGATTAGATATTAATTCAAAGACTAATTACAGAGGCTATTTGCAGGAAGTGAATCATATATGAATCATAAACTACATTGCTTAGGAATTATTGATTATCTCCCTCTATAATTTCTCATTATAAATTCACACATTTATCAAGACAAGTCTGAGGAAGTGCAGCGTTAAGGAGCCATATTTAGACAGATATTGAATTGGTGCCTCTGCATAGGAAGTCAATTAAACAGCTTATTTTTAAATCAATGAATATGAAAGCTTGATAATCATGGTAAAAAGCAACAAAAGTAACTGTTACAACTTTTTTTTTCCAGAAAACTGTTTTGATCATCATGTTTCTGGGCAGTAAGTTCGTTTATGTCGGTTCTGGTGAAGAAGAAGAAGCTATTGTCACGGGGAACATATCTTCGGACGAGGATGAAGATGAAGATGATGGCAAGGTTCGTATATGGCCAGCATACTTTGTGAACTCGTCTATGTAAGTCAAAATGTTAGCTGGAGCATTAGAATATATTAGAAAATGTCCATTGTCAAAACACCATCTGCATGCAATTTTCAATATCCTATAAAGATTTAAGCAAAAATATTTCCTTGTATTTAGGACTTGGCAACTTGTGAATAACAAACTGATGCAAGGAACTAAATACTTTTTGTGATTTCTAATGATTACTATAAGGCTGGTGTTGAGTTGAAGATTCAATATTGTGCTCACATGATAATACCTTCTAAATTACATTTTTTCATAACCTTTCCAAACAAAAAGTTCTGATTGTGCCTGTGATTTCAATAGACCAAATCCCCGTTCATGTCAACTGTCAATAGAAAAACAACAACAACTTTTAAACAAGAGCGATCAGTGATCACATGTGTCGCCTCATGATGGCCAATTTCATGTTGGGACAAGTTTTGTGACAGATGGTTAGACAGACAGACAGTGCACAACTAGACTTGGTACTGATCATTCCTGTAACGTTTGGATAAAATTGCACCAGTAGTTTATGAGGAGTAGTCCGGACAAGCTTTTGTGTATCTGGCAACACACAAAAAAAACACGTTTTTATCAAAGGGCCATAACTCTGACAAAAATCATTCAACCGGAAAACCCGTGCAATATGCGCAAGGACTTGAGCTACAGATCAATCCTGTATTGTTTCGTTGAAATTGCTTTAGTGGTATAAGAGAAGTAGTCCGGACAAACAAAAATAAAAACTATTAAAGGGCCATAACTCTGACAAAAATCATTGAACCGGAAAATGCTGACAATATGCACAACTAGACTTGGTACTGATCATTCCTGTAAAGTTTGGATAAAATTGCACCAGTAGTTTATGAGGAGTAGTCCGGACAAGCTTTTGTGTATCTGGCAACACACAGAAAAAAAAACACCTTTTTATCAAAGGGCCATAACTCTGACAAAAATCATTGAACCGGAAAATGCTGACAATATGCACAACTAGACTTGGTACTGATCATTCCTGTAAAGTTTGGATGAAATTGCACCAGTAATTTATGAGGAGTAGTCCGGACAATTTTTTTGACAGACGGACAGACAGATGACGGAGAAGTGATCCCTATATGTCGTCACTACTCCGTAGAGGCGACACAACAAAAATGGTATATTTTGATAAGACATTCATATGCTATGTTGTTATTTATTTCAGACATGCCTACTAGACATTCTAGACACAGCTGGCCAGGAGGAGTATTCATCAACGCGTGAACATTACACACTTACTGGCGACTGCTTTCTTATTATTTACAGTGTGACTGATAGAAACACGTTCACAGAGGCGGAGTCACTTCATCAGTTCTTAATTAATGTCCGAGATTGGGAGAAAACAAGAGACCTGCCCATTGTATGACATTGTTTTCTTTTGTATGATTGTCAAAACCAAGATATCAAAACTTATTTATTATAAAAAAATTTCAATTCCTTCCTAAAAAAAGTGTATGGGAAAATCAGTTTTGCCAATTTATATCCACATGCAGTTAGATTTCAGGCAAAAAATTATTTTTAATTGATTTTTTTATTAGTATGACCATCATTTCATACAGATTTACATTTATGGGAAAAGCGAATTTGACCAATGTAAAAGATAACTCCAGTCTGCAGTTTACGTCTCAATATTTTGAACTAGGATATACTACATGTATATCATTTAGATAGCAAAGAAATGATAATACTTGTATTCATTTATGGAGATGAAATTTATGTTTGTGGAAAAATATCAAATTATATATAATATATGTAATTTTGATATAGTAAGAAAAAGTTTCCCTACTGAACTGGAAAAATGCAATATATAGAGGATATTGAATGAGTGTAAGTGTAATACTGAATTTATTGAACGAGTTGAATAAAATTATATTATGCGAGCCTCCGACATAGACGTAAGTTAAAAAGAAATAATAATGTAAAAGAACTTAAAATTGTTTCAATGATTTTCAGATTTTGGTTGGGAATAAATCTGATTTAACGGAAGAAAGACAAGTACAAACTTATGAAGGAGATGAACTTGCCTTAAAACTTGGAATATTGTTTATTGAAACGTCTGCAAAAACTGGTGAAAATGTTGAGTTATTGTTTGAAAATCTGATTCGCCGTACGCCTCGGACTGGCATGAAGTACAAGGTAATTTGAGCCGTGTCACGACAAAACCATCGTAATGCGTTTGCCACCAGCATGGATCCAGACCAGCCAATGCATCCGCACAGTCTGATCAGGATCCATGCTGTTCGCTATCAGTTTCTCTACTTGTAATAGGGTTTGTAAGCAAACAGCATGGATCCTGATCAGACTGCGCGGATGCGCAGGCTGGCCTAGATCCATGCTGGTCGCAAACCCATTATGTTGGTTTTGTCGTGACACGGCATATATTATTTCTATCATTAACAGGTGGCAAATGAAACAAGAAAGTCAATTTTTGGTTTTAATTGTTTGACATCATTCCCATATTTTTGTAATGTAAGAATTTATTTCAGTACCTGGAACAAACACTAAATCACAGTGTAGCATTATTTCTATGTGAATATAGATCCTGAGGCCAGCAAGAGATGATGAGTGAAATTAATGAATTCTTATAATCTACAGCTAAATGCAGTATGATTTTCTATAGAACATAATTAGAAGCCAGTATACACATGTAGCTGGGTTTTGTTTTTGTTTTGTTTTTAAATTTTGAATCCATAGAGGGTGGCTGTTCTGATGTGCATGTCAAAAGAATCTACCCCATATAACTGTCTGTAATGTATAATAGATATAATTGTAAGTATGAACTATGTTAATTTGATAAATTTATTTCAAACAGGTTGTGGTATTAGGGTCAGGCGCTGTTGGTAAATCTAGTATTACAATTCGTTTTGTAAGTGGCACATTTGTTGATTCTTATGACCCTACCATAGAAGACACTTACAGGAAACATTTTATAGTGGAGAGTATTCCTGTAGAGATGAGAAGGGTTTCTGATCTGGGACATTACAGTAACAAAGAAACAGGAAAAACAGAAAATTAAAAATCAAGTTAGACTGGCGGCTCGAGGTAAAAGCGGTTCTGTGTGGTGTGAAAGCATAATGTTAGTCTTTAGATTGTTATGGCGTTTTTTTTTTATTTATTTATTTATTTATTTTTTTTTTTTTTATTTTTTTTTCTATTTTTTTATTTATTTATTTATTTATTGCTGGGATGGGCTTCAAATACAGGCAAATATGTGTTACAGATCACCTGAAAATAAGACCACCTTGGTAATAAATACCACTCTTTTACAACATAAAGACCATGTATGGTCTGTCTTTTAGATGTCCTTTACTTTACTACAATCAGTATTTATGTATATGCACATTTCCAAGCAGATGGTTGAAGTCAGCAATCTTAAGCACTTTGTACAGAAGCCTAGTGTTCGGTTTGAATTTAGCATTGTGTTGTACTGTAGATTGTAGTGAAGTGTATAATATTGTCAGAGACAGTTTAGTTGCGGTGTTGTTGCATATTCATCTATCTGTAGTGTCAGTTTAATTGCCATGAAGTGTAGTAAATGTAACTGTGTAGTGTTCTGATGTGGCAGTGTAATGTAAACTGTCAAAGATTGTTTTTTTCACTATAATAATTTACATGTAATTATTTTTCTGATTTTTTTATTATTTTTTGTTGTTGTTGTTTTTGTGTTTTGGGGGTTTTTTTTGTGTTTTTTTTTTTAAGTGTTAACATTGTCTTGTTTTACTTTGATTAAAATCGTAACTATTTTATGTGCGTGCTAAATGATATATACTTCAATCAACAGTCCACATACTACAATTGTTACATGGTGAGAAAAAATGTTCAACATGACCGGGACTTGAACACAGGGTCCTCTGAATAGTGAATACCATGCCATGGCTCTATACACTCAGATGCAATTATAACCCGACACTGACATTTTTCTGTATAAATAGGTTATTTGAGAACGGATTTGTTCAAATTTGGACTTTACAAAATTCAACATGTCATACTTGCTACTTGGAATTATATTTACAATTCATCGATAAGAAAATAGAAAAAATAGCAAAACAGGCTACTGTAAAATGAAAAATCACAAAATACATATTTGTTTTGTTATTTACTCTATTTTCTTGTTGATGAATTGGAAGTAAAATGCTATAGATAAATAAGTATGATATGTTGAATTGTGTATGTTCAGAAACTGAACAAAATCTGTTCACAAATCCGAAAAATGAAAGTGTCGGAATATAAGTGCCTCTGAGTGTAGACTGAGCTATATACGGCGTAGTTACACACCCTGTGCATGATAATACGCCCCCCCCCCCCCCGCGTTATATTGAATATGAATTTCTCAAGCATACAAGGCAATGTGAATTAAACTGATAACAATCTGCTGTCACGGTCCTCCATAGGGCGCGAAATATCAAACGGTGAAACATATGTAGGCTGGCCGGGACTCGAACCAGGGATCCTTTTGAAACAACTCCGTAGCTCAGCAGAATCAGAGCCTATCTAGACGCTTGCACATCATCTTCCCTTAACAGTGAACAGTTCTAGGCGTTTATAATTAAATAATTATTTTAGAAAAACGAAGTAAGAGATAGCATGATCTAAAATTTATTACACAAGTTACCGATCAAGACGTGCACAAGATGGTACATATATTTCATATAATATTTTCAGTCCCGTCATGCTGAAAAGGTCTCATGAACTCTGATGTCATCAGAGTTCCTTTTAATGTTAAATCTTGATAAAAACCATTAAGTCGTGTTGACAGAAATGATTATAAGTGATTTTAACTTTTTACTTAATATTATAATCGGAGACTGCCAGAAATTTAGTTCAAGTATCAGAGCACTTTAAGTCTCCCCTCTTTTAAGAATTAAATTTCTCATTAGGCCTATAATGGATAGTTATAATTTATTCCATAAGTATTTCAAATATTGATAGCAAAAAAAGAAATGTATCATTTGAATAGTCTTATAAACTGTTGAAAAATAATGTTGATTATAAAGTTTTTAGTGATTTATATGACGAATATTATAAAAATTTTGTATAGAACATTTTATTATCTGATATATAGATATAACTATATTAATGTCACGCGTTTCGTAGTATAGCGTGAAATATTTGTCTTCTCGAAACGTACATAGTTTACGGTATTGGAGGTAATGGTCAGTTGTGCACGAGATTATCGTGTTTTTTCGAGTAGGCTATCTATAACAGGGTTATAAATACGGAGTGTAAAGATTTTTATTCACTTCTACCCAGACGATTTCTAACAAAGTACACTTTCAATTTTGAGCGTGTGCAGCGCAGCCATGGAAGAACAAAACGATTTATTGTCAAGTATGGAGAGACTTATTACTCAAAAGCTTGAAGATTTTGAACAGTCTCAGAGGGCTTTTACTCAAGAGCAGATAACGAGACTACAACACAGTGTACAGAGACAAGATACTTTCACGTTTCGTAAGAAAGGCAACGAGGAACAACATAAAGTAAACGCACGTGTTCTCGACAAAATGAAGGAAGCAGACTTGCATCTTCAAGAGGCCGCCAGATCTCATCAAAGTGAGTCCATGTCGTCTGCTATGGAAAAAGTCTCTCGAGGTATTGACATTTTAAATCACCGCCAGAAGTTAATACGTCTTGCTGATTCAAGTGACGCTGGTTGGCGTGTAGCAATGGAATATGAGGCCCATCCTCTGGCCGAAAACGAAGATGACGAGAAAAAGATTTACAGGTCCCAGAGAGACGCTGAGCGTAAGCTCAGACAGGAGAGGAAAGCGAGAAATACCCGTTATTCTCCGTTTTCACGTTACGGGCGTTATTTCCAAGGACAAACGTTAACACCTGAAAATAAGGATATTGCTGGCTCATCGACCACGTGGAACCAGACGAACGTATCTGCTGGCCGATTTTAACTTGCCAACTGGCGTACTAATTTTTGAACTATTTTCGCATTCAGCGTTTTGCGTAGATAAATATAACAAAGAGCAACTTATCTTAGAATTTGACTGTACATCCTTGTTCATAAACCCTCCGTCGTTTTGCAAACCAGCCCTGCAGTCGTTCCGCCAATGACCGGGACGTCCACACCGGAAGCACGTGCCAGGTTTACCTGTATAAATCACTGGAAAGATGCTGGAGCAAATGAGTACGTATTACAAATAGTAGAAAATGGGTATAAATTACCTTTCAGAAATATTCCAGATTCAGTTTTCTTGTTAAACAACAAATCAGCAAGGGATAATTCTTCATTTGTAAGTCAAGAAATTAAGTCATTGCTACAAAAAGGTTGTATTTCTGAGGTGAAAGAGCAGCCTTATATTGTAAATCCCCTTACAGTAGCTCATGGAAAATCTGGTAAGGCACGTTTAGTCTTAGATTGTCGTCACATTAATTTAGAACTTTTTAAGTACAAGTGTTGCTTTGAAGACCAGTCTGTGGCAAAAAATATGTTTGAAAAGGGAGATTACATTTTTTCCTTTGATATAAGAAGTGCATATCATCATATAATGATCTCTCCTGAACACAGAACTTATTTAGGGTTTTCATGGGAAGTAAATAATGTGCTTCATTTTTACGTTTTTAACGTGCTTCCTTTCGGAATTGCGACTGCAGGTTTCATTTTCACGAAGGTATTGAGAGTTTTAGTTACTAAATGGCGTTCCCTTGGATACAGAATCATTCTTTTCTTAGACGATGGTTTTGCAGGTGATAGTAAGTATGAAAGTGCTATAAAATTGTCAGATTATGTGCACAATGATTTATTAAATTTTGGTTTCATACTCGCAGAAGATAAATGCCATTGGATTCCATGTCAAAGGTTAGTATGGTTAGGTTATGTTTGGGATACTCTAAACGGTTATTTAAAAGTAACCGACGAACGCATATCTAGTACAGAGCTCTTGTTGCAAAAATTCATTCACGAAATTGGTCAAGGGAAGACAATATTTCCCGTACGTATGGTAGCCAGGTTAGTTGGTCAGTTGATTTCCATGATGACTGCTGTGGGTCAGAAAGTACGATTACGAACCAGGTCGTTATATGACTGTGTGGTAAGTCGGGCAAGTTGGGAGGCCCCGGTTATGATTAGTGCAAGAGCATTTGATGAAATTTTATTTTGGAAAGAAAATTTGAAAATATTAAACAAATTTGTTCTAAAAGAGGCCGGAAGTGCCAAAGTGAAAAATATTGAAAATGTCATATTTTGTGACGCCAGTGGAGCTGGCTTTGCAGGTTTTATTGCAGGCGATGAAACTAGTCATGTGATAGGTTGTTGGTCTGAATCCGAAACGGTATGAGTTCAACATGGAGAGAGCTAGAGGCTGTACACAGAGTTATAAATACTTCATTTAAAAGCCTGGAAGGCAAGATGTTATTGTAAATACTGATAACAAAAATGTAGTTTCAATTTTGAAATATGGTAGTAAAAAGCAGTATTTGCACGACATTGCGGTTAACGTGCACGATACATGTTCGCAACACAGTATAAATATAGTACCGAAATGGGTTCCAAGAAATGATAACAAGGAAGCAGATTTTTATAGTAGATGTACTGATAGTGACGATTGGTCCGTTGAAAGTCACGTGTTTGAGACACTAGATAAAATATGGGGTCCTCATACATTTGATTTGTTTGCATGCAATTACAACACACAATGTAATAAGTTTTTCTCAAAGTACTGGTGCCCAGGGACTTCCGGCATTAATGCATTAGAACATAAATGGGTCAATGAAAACTTTTGGCTTGTACCGCCACCTAGATTAGTTGTCAATTGTTTAGATAAAATATTTTCAGATAAATGTACATGCACACTTGTAGTCCCAATATGGAAGTCGGCGCCATTTTGGCCTATTCTCTTCCCTGAAAGAGGAGTGACAAACGGAAGTGTTTTTGAGCATTTTATTTTTTCTCCAGGAAAGCTGACAAAGCGAGGTCGGGGGAAAAATGGCATTTTTGACGGCAGAAATTTAGGATTCGGTTTAATTGCTGTCAGATTCGTGTAGTACATTGATATTTTATATTTTTGCAGGCCTGAATTTGAGGAGGTGTATAGATGCAGAAGTACATGAAAGTGGGTTGCGTCATGGAAGTTTCAATGAACTGTCGTCTAAGATGTCTTTACTGTTGGTTAAGTCGAAGAGTGACAGCACAGTATCAAAGTATTATTCGTATTTTAAAAAGTGGGAGGATTTTATTACTTCTAAGGGCGGGGTAGCAATACCCGCTGAGCCAATTCATGTTGCCCTGTATCTTACAGAATTAATTGACAAACAATCATCCAGTTCTATTTTTTCAAATGTTGTTTATAGTTTAAAGTGGGCTCATTCTTTGAGAAATTTACACGATCCTACTGATAATTTGTTTGTGAAAAATTTGCTTGAAGCTTCAAAAAGATTGTTGACAAAACCTAAGACAAGGAAGGATATTGTGACAACAGACAATTTAATAATGTTGTGTGATAAATACATTCAAAGTGACGATATTCTTGTGTTACGTGATTTAGCTATGATTCTAATAGCGTTTGCAAGTTTTTTAAGGTTTGATGAATTAAGTAGCCTTAGGTGTAATGATGTTATTTTTCATGATTCACATATTTCTATTCGTATAAGAAAAAGTAAAACTGACCAATATCGCCATGGAGACCGTATTATTATTTCTAAAGGCGAGTCTGTAGCTTGTCCATATACAATGTTACAACGTTATATGCGTGTTGCAGGTTTATCTGTTACAGATGATACATTTTTATTTAAGCCATGTTACCGGTCAAAAAACATTTGTAGACTTATTTTCAAAGATAAGCCACTTAGTTATACGCGAGCTAGAGAATGTCTTATTTTGCGTTTAAAAGAAGTTGTTCAAGATTTAAACATAGGTATTCATTCACTTCGAGCGGGTGGTGCTACTGCAGCCGCAAACGCTGGTATAAATGATCGTTGCTGGAAAAGGCACGGTCGATGGAAGGGTGAAAATAGTAAAGACGGATACATTGGTGATTCTTTAGAAAAAAGATTGTTAGTCACAAAATCATTGCATTTGTAAAGCACTTTCCATTTTCCAGCCCGCTCTTTTCGTATTTCTAAACTACTCGTCTGGTATTGCATTAATTAGTTTACTTTTGTATTCGTAACGTCTTTAGTCAAGAAAAGACTATTAATTTCACGCGTTTCGTAGTATAGCGTGAAATATTTGTCTTCTCGAAACGTACATAGTTTACGGTATTGGAGGTAATGGTCAGTTGTGCACGAGATAATTGTGTTTTTTCGAGTAGGCTATCTATATCAGGGTTATAAATACGGAGTGTAAAGATTTTTATTCACTTCTACCCAGACGATTTCTAACAAAGTACACTTTCAATTTTATATTATTTTAATCGTGGTGTAATATTAAAAGTAGATTTTTCCCTGAATTTTTTTTTTCTCACATACTTTCAGTAAGCTTTTTCTTACAATACATACATTTTAGCAGGCTTTTAAGCAGGCACTAGTTAAAAAAGAAAATGAAAAGTTGTATTTTACTTCATAAAAAACGTTTTCCTTGTTAAAATATTAAAGCAAGAGTAACGCACAATATAATTTGTATATATATAATGCTACATTTATGATGCTTTACCATATACCTGCAAGGAATGAGGCCCGACATTCTTACGATCCGACATTGACAAATGGGCACAGGGTTTTCAGAGATATTTTCATTTAAAAAATGCTTTTATCTCTGTTTTTTACCTGGGCGAGTCGATTCGTCATTCAATCTTTAGGTTAAATTTTGGATACAAGTTTTAAGAAATTGTACGGAAGTTTAGGTAAATACGTTGAAATGTTTTTCGCAGGTATATGGTATTTTCATTTGCAATATCAAAACAAGTAGATATACATGTACATGTATAAAGATGACATTTTATCAGTTATATTTGTATTGTAATTAAGAAATGTATTCATAGATCTTTTACTTTTAGATCTCGTTTCTTATTGTTTCACTTTTACATGTATAAATGTATGATGTAACCCGGCTGCTACTTAAATAAACTACTCGTCTGGTATTGCATTAATTAGTTTACTTTTGTATTCGTAACGTCTTTAGTCAAGAAAAGACTATAATATCGGATCACCTTATCTCATATTTGCCATCAACTTTTATGCATAATTTGTCGTATAACGTAGGAAGAACTCACGGATGTTACATACTTTTAATATACAAATACAAACACACATGTGAACGAGTGGAATACCAAAGTCGAACTCCCCACTCTGACATTTGAGAATAGTATATATAATATCAACCTGTCCTAAGGACATTTTATAATGTATATAAATACACACGTTTTAGAGTTACATATATTAATCATCCTGACATAAGGTCAGTCCGTATGCATCCTGAACTATAATACTCATAAATCATGTCATGTTCCATAGTGCACATTATGAAATAAAAACCTTAATATATGTATATACATGTTGACTTGTCATTCTTTTTGAATATAGCGTGTATGACTCATTAGCCTGTGCAACCAGCTATACCACAAATTCTTTAATGCTTTGTTGTTACGTTTAATATTAAAATTAATACTATTTACATAAAAGTTCATTGTATCAAAGCTTGCGTTATAGACCAATTAAAAAGAGTCTGCTTCTGTAACCATAAAAAGTTCTCACAGCATAAACTTATGATAAATTTTGATCAATTTCTTTTGAGATATAATTAGACTTTTATTATATTTTATCAGGTCATCGTACTAACCCGTACGAAAACTTCCGCCCTGAAAAAAGCAGAAATTCCGCCTAGCTACTAGGCGTAATCCGTCTAAGGCATTTCAGGTTTACATATCACAGATTCCTCCTATAAGCAGGAATACGCTGCGAAATATGCAAATTTTCTTAGGAGGAAAACAGTTAGGGTAGCAGGAAAAAAATCCTCCTTAGAAAATTTAACCAGGAAAAAATTCAGCTTAAAGAAAGCACTAGCAGGAGAAAATTCCGCCTTAGGAAAATTCTTAGCCGGAAAAAATTCCGCCTAAAATATTTTAACCAGGAAAAAAATACCTACTTAGAAAATCACTAGCAGGAGAAAATTCTTCCTAAGGAATATACTAGCAAAAAATCCGCCTAAGGAAATGAAGTTATTCAATTTTGTGATAGTACACTAATAAAGCTGAATTATGGATGGATACAACATTATTTTTTAGCTGCATAAGAATTATTGGAATCCAAAATTGCAGACAGACAATAGGTGATCACAATTACAAAGCTTTTAAGTTATTTTTGTGAGCTTTACCATAATGTTTTCTACATTAGGGTGCATGTACAGTACGTAAAAGAGTCACACAAAAAACAGAAACACGAGTTATATTTTTTATTGCACTGCTATTGTATTGTTTTAATCCATGGCAAATTATTTCATTTTATTTCACTGTAAATGTTTTTTGTTCAGCCAGTTGTTTTCATTTTTATTCCAAGCATAACTGATCTGCTTTAACTTATGGTATCATTAATATCCTTGTCCGTGACTTCTCCCCTCCCATTCTTTTTACACCAGCTTGAGACATATCCTGAAACACAAACAGTCATCAGTAAAACACTGCCACCACTAATATCTTATATTATTGTTTCTTGTCATTGTATGCAGTTATAATTATACATGCATTTAAACTATAATTAATTACAGCCAAACTTAGTGTTACAAATTTACTCTCAAACTTAATGCAAAATTATTTAATTTATTTGAAATATATTTTTATTGTTTAAATGTATCCGAAAGTTACTTACCTGAATTTTTATGATATTGGTATTTATCTTCTTATCCAAGGTCATAATGTAGCATTCAAAATTCATTTACAACTGAGCATATCCAGATTATTGTCATTTTCATTCACAAGGCTAAGTCTTATTTTTTTTCTTTGAAAAATTCAAAAATATTCAATCCTTACACTTTAAACAAAATATTATCTCAAAAATTGCTTATATATTATCACCACAATTGTTAACTATCAATAAAATCCTTTGTTATTTGCTTTATTTCCACTGTCTAAGCTTCTGCTGACCCATATTTCCTAGATTTCAAATTATGGACAAGTCCATGATATGATGGTAAATAGGGATAATCCAACCCATCGTTTTATTTTCACAATTATATAAAAATACCAGAAAATAAATGGAAAAAGAATCCAAAATTCATAATAAATATCTTTAAAAAAACTTTGCAAAGTCCTTCTTAACAGACTCATCATATAAAATGTACAAAGTAACTGTTGCTTCCCCCCAAATAAATCACATGGAACAGTCTGGACTGTAGCAGAATTTACGATCTGACCTGTGTGTTATCAGGTCTGTGGTGTTAAATCATAGTAGAGTGGTTACTAGAGGCAGTATTTATTTATTTATCCTGTTGATAAGAAATTTTCAGGGATATTACTCATTTAATTATATTACATTAAAAAGCTTAATATATGAGTTTAGTTCATACCCAAATTTAACACAGTGAAATATATTCTATGCAAAAGTCATCACAACATCATTATATAATATGTTCTAAGTTTTAGTTTTGTTGTGGAGTTTTTTTTTATCAATTAATGATTATGTATGTTTATGTTTGTACAAACAATATTTTAGTTTTGAAAATTAACAATGAATAAAAGCAGCAAAATAATTGTTGATCACTTAATAATCGATTTATTATATACCTGTCATCTGCAGAAATTTCTCCAAATTCAGAAATCTGTCTAGTAAAATTTTCTAAGTTCAATTTCTGGTTAACAAAAAAGTCTAAGTACATAATTCCTGTTAACAAATAACTGACAAAATTCTAAGTCCTAAAACCCGTCTAAATTATTGCTCATCCCATATTTTCCGCCTAAGCCTTAGGCGGAATATGAAATTGCTTAGCAGGATTTTTTACAAAATTCCGTGTCCGTCTTAAATTAGCAGGAAAATCTTATATACACGGAAATTTTAAGCGTTTTCCTGCTTATATTAGGCGGAATCCTGCTATCTTTTTCGTACGGGAGAAGTCGTCACCATGCAAAACATTTACTTAACACTAGATCTAAAGAGAAAAGAAGTAAACTGTTGTGTGGCCTAGATCGTATATTTGGTAGGAAGAAGAGAAACAACGTACCTTGTCAGTCCTATAATCTTGACAGTGATTGCGAAGATAATGAGTTTGATGACATTCATGATGAAGAAGAAAACGAGGATGAATGTAAGTGAGCTAGATTTAAGCTCACTTGAGCACACAGTGCTCTGAAGAAAGTTTGGTGATGGCAGGGTGTCTGTCGTCCGTCGTTCATCGCTGTCCACAATTTCTGTAAACACCATCTCGGTCTGAACCACTTGGTGGATTTCGACAAATAATCTATCCATTTATTAGGGAAAGAGTATGCACATGTCTAGAACCTCACAAAATCCTCTATTTAAACTCCTCCAATGTTTAAAGTTTAATAAGGGATTTCTTTCAAATTGACAGTTTTATGCATACTTCTTTTATAAATTACAGCGAATTATAAAATTTCAATATTTTAGTTATATGGAAATAATATATTTTATAATATATTAAATGTATAATAATCCTTAAACAGAGGTGAGCTCTATTTACCCTGTGTGATTTTTTAAAAAAATATTAAGATATTTGATTGTTCCATTTAACCCATGACAATATAAAATATCTTTGATTTTAAATTTTAGAAAATTTAGAAGTGCAGAAATTATGATATGTGTTTCCAGTGGTGAAGGAGGAAAAAGTACAAAAAGCAGACGGCAATGTGATGTTACTGAAACTTGATATTCTGGAAGATGATCCAAATATTATAACAGGTGATCCCACTCAGTGTGAGGGTTGTGATGCAATTCTTTCTTCTACATCTACCCTAGAAAATGAGGATGGCAAAGAACAGTCCACTTGGGTTTGGTAAATAAGATATGAGCCGTGTCACGACAAAACCAACATAACGCGTTTGCGACCAGCATGGATCCAGACCAGTCTGCGCATTTGCGCAGTCTGATCAGGATCAATTCTGTTCGCTTACAAACCCTGTTACAAGTAGAGAAACTGATAGCGAACAGCATGGATCATGATCAGACTGTGCGGATGCGCAGGCTGGTCTGGAGCCATGCTGGTCGCAAACCCATTATGTTGGTTTTGTCATGGCGCGGCTCAATTATATTTTTGAATATTCTCGTAGGAATATAAGTTGTTGTCTTTTTTAAAGATTTAATAAGTATAATTGATGAAATATAACTTTGTATTTACTTTTGATTAATGCTCATTTATAGTGAAAAATGGGTGAGTAATAAAAATTGTTGAGCAGAAGACAAAAAAGTTGAAACAAATAGATAAAAATTGAATCATGATTATTAGACTATTTATATGAAATCTTAGGTTTGGAATTGTATCCCACTGGTCTCGGGTGCGAATTCGGATCAGGCTGCACATTTTTCTAACCAGTCACATTTGATACTTAATAGAGGACTGTAAATGGTCTTTTTACTCTTGGTCAAATCAGATTGTTTTCTGTTCACCCATTAGAATTTCTGGACAATTTTCAAGATAGCAGGGAGTATTATGACATAGAACTGTTCACTTACATGTATCAGGGGGAAGATGGTGTAAACAAATATACCTGTTCATTTAACGATGCAAATGTACTCAAAATGTTTTTATTGTATTTTAATATAATCTATTTTAGTGAATTTTGTGAGCACAAAAACACAGGGTTGAATGTAAGCCAGGAGGAGATTCCTAAAGGGGACAGCTTTGACTTTGTGCTGATCCCAGCAGAAGAGTCCATAGAGAATGAAGAGAAAGAGGAGAATGCTCCCAAAACAGAAGATGAAGATAAAGGAATCACTGTATATTGTATGGATATAAGTGGATCTATGTCGAGGTCATTAGTACTGCCAGGTATACAAGGTAATCACAAAAGCCACAGGTTAACATTTAATTTTTTTTACCATGCTGGTATTAATGAAAAGATGTGGTACAGGAATTTTAAACTTTTCAGTTGATCTACATACAGAGTTTAATAAGGATGGATTAGTTATTATGCAAAGGTATTACTGGTATATTTTCATTTTCAGAATAGATTGTGTCAGATTGAGTCTCTTATTGCAGCAATCCTGTAAATTGTTGTAAGTCTTCTTTAATCATGTTAATGATGTAAAGTGTAGCATCTGCATTCACTTTTCAAATTGGTTTAATTATGCACCCTGTCTTTGACAGTTTAAAGATTTTGAATATTATCATGCAAAAATGCATTCTAAGTCAACTTGTAAATACTTTTCCCTTTTCAACTAAATGATATAACTGTGTCATACTTTGGAGATTAATTGTTAATTTCAAGTGTTTCATCATCAACATATAAGATTATATATTCTTGTCATTGTGACGTTGATGAGCTGATTTAAGTAGCACTATTATTGAGGCATATCTGCTAATAATAGCATTAGCACCTTATTAAGTAAATTGTATCTTGTTATTTTAGCACAATGGAGGAATGCTAGGGATAGAATGATTCACGATGATAACTTTACTACAAGGCTAACAGCCATTAAAAATGCTGCTAGGAGGTTAGTGTATCCTCATTCTTAACACCTGAATTCTTGCAGCCGTAAAGATATGCAAACTCAATGCCTACTGTCAGGCCAGCTTATTTGTCGTTTTCCTGAACAACTTGCAAGGCATCATTGTCTTTACCATTGCTAACTTGTTCCAGGAACATATTGCTCATATCATTGCCAAGTTGTCTAGAGTAAGGGCAGCTACTATTGTCCTAACAATTTTGTCAAGAACAAGGCAAGCTTGCATCTATCCTAACAAACTTTCTAGACCAAGGCTATCTCATGCTACTATCCTATAACAAGGCTTGCTTGCTATAATTTTTATAAACCTGTCTTGAGCAAAAGCAAACTTCCTATTATCCAAACAAACTTGTCTAGAACTAGGCCAGATTGCTATCTTCTTGTCAACCTGTCTAGAACAAGAGCAGCTTACTATTATCCTTTCTTTGTATTTGCCAATTTATCTGAAACAAAGGCAGCTTACTATTATCCTTACAAAATTGTTAAACACAAGAAAAGCTTGCTATTATCATTGTCAACTAGTCCAAAATAAAAACAGCTTGTTATTATTTTGGCAAACATTTAAAGAACCAAGACAGTTTGCTTTTATCTTCTCCAAGTTGTCTAGAGCAAGAGCAAATCGCTTTTATTCTTACAAGCCTGTCTAATACTTGAACAGCTTGCTATTATCCTTGCCAACTTGTCTAGAAGAAAGACACTTTGTGTTCCTGCTAACCTGTCTTGAGCAAATCAGATTTGGACGGTAGTTTGCACTTTACAGTACCATCAGTGAAGAGGCTCAATCAAACCGAGTCTGCAACATTTTCAATTATGTTGTGTTGGACTTTCTTTAGGGATTTTTATTTTCTCTATTTTACTGTTATCCTTGCTGAATTATTTAGAAAACGGGTAATTGTTTGTATACTTGCCTAATTGTATTAAGAATGGCAAGCTTGTTTTTATCCTTACCTAGTTGTCAAGAATAAAATCAGCTTGATATTATTCTAACAAACTTGTCTAAACAAGTCAAGCTTGCTATTATTCCGACAAACTTGTCTAAACAAGTCAAGCTTGCTATTATTCCAACAAACTTGTCTTGGAAAAGGCAAGCTTGCTATTATCCCTACAAACCTGTCCTTTCTGTTATTTTTGTCAACTTGTGTAAAATAAGGTCATTTTGCTATTATTTGTACCAAGTTGCTATTTGCCTTGCCAACTTTTCAAGAACAAGGCAGATTTACGGTTAACCTTCGTAACTAACCTAAAACAAGGGCAGCTTGATTTTATCCTTACGCATTTAACAAAGTTGTCTCTATCAACATGATCAAGGGCAGCTTGCTATTATAATTGCCGGCTTGTCTAGGACAAGGCTAACTTTTATCAATAATATCAGCTTGCTATTTTCTTTGCTATTTTTACAAGAATAAGGGCAGCTACACAGACTTGTCTAGAACTAGAACAGTTTGAGCAAGGCCATCTTAATTTATACTGGAAAAGGCCAGCTTGCTTTTATCCTTACTAACTGGTATAGAACTATGACTGTTTGGTATTATTCTTGCAAAGTTGTCTAGAGCAATGGCAACTTGTTTCTTTGTTTTCCTTGTCAACATGTCTGGAGCAAGGCAAGAATGCTATTAATCTTACCAACTTGTCTTAAGCAAGGTCTGTTTACTATTACTTTTTTACATATTTCTTTATAGTTTTAAAAACAACTTTAGCAATTTGATCATACATATTTTAGGCAATTGGAAAGAATGAAGTTGGAGTATCCCAAGAAGCAAGTTGCACTTGTCACTTTTGCTTCCACTGTTTATCTCTGGGGTGATTGTGGGAAACGTACACCAACAAAATTCACTGGAAAGATCCTGAATGATTACAAAGGTCTGATTGCAGCAGGCAATAAATATGGTTCCAAAATGAAGATAGGGAAGCTTGAAAATACATATGAGTAGGACCTCTTTTCTTCATTTCTTTTAACATTTTGCAGGAGTTTTGTCAAATTACTTGGTTTTGCTCATGCAGATAGAACATTTTATATACTCACTTGGAGTGTCTTATGTTTAATTCTGGCAACATATCAGTTTGAATTCCAACTGATCTTACTATTTCATGAAGTATGCTTGAAGCTAACTTGAACAACTCTCAAGTGTGCTGTTTGGATGTAATTAGTATTGTCGTCAATTATGCAGTTAAAGGATTTTGACTGGAAAAGGACTTCAATCCAATAGTTTCTACATCAAAATTAATGAGAGGCACCTAGAAAATAAAGCTGTATATTCTTTAATATTCTGTTGGTCATTGATTGATAGCACAAGGTCGAAACATTTCCTCATAAAGCTTAGGTAAAATAATTTAAACCTGCAGTAGTGGTAAAGAGCAAACATAAAGTATGACATTCACATTTAACTTACACTGGCAGAAGTTCAACCTGCGCTCTGCACCTTGTCTCATTATGGTTCACATTTTTGTCAAAAATCTTAGTTTTAGTTTCTTTCCATTGGTTCAGAAGATAAAATTATAAGTGTAAATAAACTCAGATTTTCAGATTTAGAGACAGTGTTTTTAGCTGACCAGAGCAATTATAAGCTCATTAATTTTGCCTCGAATGGGTCATTCTTTTTTAAACAGTAAGTCACCAGGTTTAAGAAAAAACCTTGTTTACACACAGGTCAAACTTGAATATCGGTCATCTTGTGTCTAAAATTGGGTCACATAGTTACATCAAAGAAAAACACCTCAAACTCAAATTTTGATTTGATCTTCATCAGACAGTGTCACTATATTTATGTTTTACAGGTGGGTCATCTTTGGTAAAAAAATTATCTAAATGAAACTTGTACAGTTTATTAAAATATGGGTCATTTTCGTTTAGAATGCAGCTCGATCACAAGGTTAAATCAAAGAAAAATCTTGATAATACTCAGTGGTTATAGATAGCTATGACTTGCTTATTAAACTTTGACAGGCTGCTATAATATCTCAGTAATATACATGTTACTTTTGAATATGAGTTATCTGAGGTCAAAAGTAAACTAGGTCTCTGGGTCAAGGATTGACCATGAGTCATCTTGGGTTAACCAAGTTGTGATCAGGTCAATTCAAAAGAAAGCCTTCACCAGGTCACTATTTTTGATCTTTTATTGCTCATGAAACTTTTTTAAAACTTTTGTCTCATTTATAGTTTGGACAAGATTAAATTTTGGTAACCGTGATATAAAACTTGGTCACAATGTCAAATCCATGCAAAATTTTGCAATCCTTTGGTAGACTTGTGCAATTATATTGTATACTCAAGTGGTGATTCATGACCATCGTGACCCTTTTTGTATATGTTAGGTATTTATATGAAGCTGGTCTTTAAACTGTTTGAAAGTTGTGTGTATGTGGATAATGTTCATTTGTTGTGCACCTGCCATTCAATACATACAGAAACTTAGACAGAAAAATAGAAGACTTAGAAACAGTAGGTTCTACTGCTCTTGGTCCAGCCTTGGCTATATGTGCAGGAATCATTTCTGGTACTCCTCTTTCTGAGGTTGTGTTGTGTACAGATGGGGAACCAAACACCGGAGTTGGTGACCTTGACAGTGAGCCTGCAACAAGGGACTTTTATCCCAAGGTATAACTAATGAATTTGCTTCATTTAATTATTTATAAATGATTTTCATCAGTACATGCACTTTATTTATAAATGTAACTTCTTAAAGGTATTTCTACTTAACTGTCATTTGAACCAGAAATTATTCACACACTAGTGACATTAAGGGTTGGGGGTCTTAAAACTATCTTTTGTATTTCATTTTGTTCTTCCATCACCTGTTCTTGTCCGTAGTTACCTTTCAGTGCAATTTCAACTTTTATTTGCTTTGACAAAGTCAAGGTCCTTCAGGCTGAATATTGATATCTTTCCCTCAAAGTTTAGCAATGTTTTAGTATTGGTGCCGCGATTTTGACATCACTACTATTTCATGTTTAATGTTCGCCATTTTCTGTGAATTTCATTGTTTTACTTTGTTAATTATTTATAAACCTATTTAATTACAGTCTGTCTGAAAACAAAATTTTAATTTAAATTGTCTCTATATAATGTTATATTTCATCTAATTATGCTGCTCTAAATTGTCATGTGTTATTTCAAGATTGGAGAATATGCCAAGAAAAATAACACCAGATTGTCTATTCTTGCTGTGAAAGGAGAAGAAACAGGCCTCGACACTGTGAAAGAAAGCGCTGTGGTTTCCATGGGAACAATTAATGTCCTTAATCCATTAGAAATGATGAGGCAACTCCGCCTGATTGCCCAGAATTATACCATAGCAACAGCTGTTGATGTGAAAGTCATTCTACATAAAGACTTTGTGTTTGATGAACCAGGATATGCTAAGGTAACATCGAAGTATTTAGAAGGGTAAAAAAATTGGATTTAAGACATTTAAATGACAACAGAAATGTTTATTAATACCGAAAATATGACAAATATTTTGGCACTTAGCATTGTCTTGACAACTATACAGTTATTTTTGTTTTGTGTTTAAAAAACTAAAAGTGATGAGGAAAAATACAATGTTTTCAATTTATTATAATAACATAACTGATCAATTTATTATAATGACATAACTGAAATACATACATTTCTTTAATTATCAGCATATCCTAATACTATTACTGAAAGAGAGCTTTCATCTTTACCAAGCTAAATATCAAATATACAATGTACTTGGCCATCATACATCTGGACAAAAATGATTAGCCTTTGCCACTAGTATTATACTAGGAGCCAGGGAAGCCTGTAAATTCTTGCTGTCTGACCTGAAGCTCAGTATACCGGTGGCTGATTTGGTTTCATCTTTATATCATCAAATTAAATAATTGACAGAAATATGTAAAGTTCACATGTCCATTTAAGAAATTTCAGCATGTTACAGTTTAAGAGAAAAAACTACTATTGAGAACTTGAATGTATGCATTTCTGAATGAAATTTGTGGTCGACCTAGCTATATTCTGAAGTCATACTAAAGGCAACCCCTTCCTCTGAAGGATTTATGTATCACTAGTCTCAACATTTACATGTCCTTAGATATTTTAACTATTTCTGCTCTAACATCTGAATATAAATAAGGATGCACTTCATCAAAGATTGAAGGTTTTAACTTTTTTATTATGTCATTTTGAAGATGATAAGTAAAATTGTGAAAGAGGTTGGTAATGCTGCCAAGGAGAAGGATTTGACCTTCAGATACACGGTCAAAGATGTAAAGAATATAGCTATACAGCAGTCTGTTCCATTCCAGGTAAGTGAGACATGGATTTTACAAGAATCTTGCAATTGTAATTGTTCAGACTTTATTGGCATTTTGAATTAGATTTTTTGAAAAATCATTAGATTTTGCTTTTAAAGGTTTAAGGAACTTCACTTAGAAGTCCAAAAGCCTAAACAGTACAGTGAAACTTCCGAAAACCGAACACCCATGGGACTTGTCAAAAAGTTCGGATTTCGGAGGTTTCCGGAATTCAGAGGTTTATGATAATGTGAACAAGAGTAAGCCACTTAATATCAATAAATGTCAAGGAAGATGTGGCCATTACTGTAATATCATAGTCTTTTAATCAAGATAAAGATGTGAATGAAAAGAATACACTTTTATCTTACCTGCAAATGCTTTTGAATTTCTATCTTGTTAATTGCATAAACTTACATATCGTCCGATGCTAGTTAATTAATTATCACACCAAATGCAATAAAATCCCTAAAGACGTTTGATGCATACATTGTCCAATTAATTGTTTTTAATCCGCTAATAAACACTTCAAATTAACTGACCGCCGTAAATTACTTTGATTATTCCCATCACTTCATACATACCATTTCACAGTTTGTGATTTTAACGCATGTCAAATTACACGATCACCGCTAATTAGTAAACAATCGATATAGTACTTTTTAATTATAATGGTAAATTTTTGAAATCAAAGAAAATTCTTGTTGATAATGCTAGAAGAGCAATGTTTTCTGTGATCCAAAAGTCATGTAAATGTTTACCAATTTCTTTGCAACTACATTTATTTAACTCTTTGGTTGTACCTATCCTTCTTTATGGAAGTGAAGTTTGGGGATTCGAACAAGTTCAAATTCTAGAGAAATTTCAGTTGTATTTTTGTAAATTTATTTTGAATTTAAAAGCTTGTACACCTAATTGTATGGTTTATGGTGAGTTAGGCATATTCCCATTAGCCTTACAAGTGAAAGCAAGAGTTTTGTGTTTCTGGAGTAAAATTATAAATGCTTAAGAAAAATAAATTTGTAAACTTCTTTATAAAACAAGGTTGTCTTTGTCCTCTAGGAATATTGTTAATTCTAAATGGATAAATTTTGTGAAAGAAACACTTAGTAATCTTGGCATGTCAAAATATTTTCATTTACAGAAGGTAGATAATATTAATCACTTTAAAAATATTGTGAAGCTTAGACTACAAGATCAATTTTTACAAGATTGGCATAGTACTATTGATACATCCTCTAAGTGTTTAGTGTATCGTACATATAAAAATACTCATTGTTTTGAAAAATATCTAGATGTACTTCCTTTTGACATAGGCAAATATTTATGTAAATTTAGAACAATGAATCACCTATTACCAATCGAAAAAGGCAGACATTTGGCAATTGATCATGATAATAGGGTCTGTTCCTTATGTCCGTATCAAGCTATTGGTGATGAATTTCACTACTTATTTGAATGTTCGTACTTTAATGACATAAGATGTAAATCTCTTCTTCCCAGGTTTTACATTCATCCCAATACTTTTAAACTTGACACATTAATGAATAGTTGTGATAAAAATATTCTACTAAAATTATCTTTATTTTGTAAAAACATTATGTTGAAATATAGATAACTAATACTTCTCATTCTCCATCTCCATTTGTTACAATATAAAATACATGTATTGAATTCAGTACTTGAAATGAACAATATGATCTCCTTTTTGTTTATTTAGCTAGTCATAATTGTATTTTTATATTGTGATATTAGTGATTTTTGACTGTTATTTTTCTGTTTGTTTGTTTGTTATAACCAGTTGCATATTATATGCCTTGGTTTAATAAAAACTGAAACTGATAGGGAGGTTAAATCTTCCTGCAGGGATAACATTCTCGATTTACAGTATATTTCCGTTTTTTGGAGGTAAAATTACATTGATTTGACTCTAATTTTACGAAAATATCGTCTGGAATTCAGAATTTAGAAGTTCTGGAATTCAAAAGTATTATATAAATAGAAAATAGAGGGGAAAAATGAGGACCGAAAAAATTGTTTCCGGATTTCAGAAGTTCCGGAATTCGGAAGTTACACTGTAATAGCATTTAAAGTTTTAACAAAGATCAGCGCTATATATGCAGATAATATTGAAGTAATATTCTTAGAAATAAATTGAAAATCTAATATTTGTTATTCTTAATTATCGCCTGATTTGAATGAAAAATGTTGCATGCTTTTTCAATTTGGACCATTTTCACAATATTAAAGAGAATTATTCTTTTTCTCAATTAAAAGAATTATTCCTCAAGTAAAACAGAAAGATTAAATGAATTAAATTTTACACAGTCAAGTTATTTAGGTCTAGACTGACCTACACCAAATTAACATTAATCTCAAAAAAATAAGAGAAAATAAGAATCCCTAAAGAAAAGTCCAAAACGGCAAAATTGAAAATGTTGCAGGCTCGATTTGATTGAACCGGTGCATGGATGGTACTGTCAGGTGCAAACTACCCTCAACTCCCCCTAGCACCATGGCTTAAGCAGAATTTAATACTTCAACATGAAATGGGAAGATTTTTAATGTAGAAATTTAAGTTAACATCCGCAGATATGTTCATACGATGTGCTCATGGTGGTTCAACAAGGAATCTTAAATGTGACACTTCCGTGCCATTCCTTGAAAAGCGGCGTACGGTCCCCAAGTAATAGAAAGTGTGTGCCCTAAACGAGAAAACAATGAGCAGAGGTTATGGAGCTTGCATATCACAGATAAGACGTCCAAAGGCAGGCAACATATCCTAAGGGTGATTGAACATTATTCAAGTAGGAATATTTGAACCACCCCAATAGAAAAAGTCAAACTAAAAAATACCACATACACAACTATATATCATTGATTTTCCTTATATGTGTATAGCAAAAACTTAAAAATCTTCTTTGGAAAAACCCAAATAGCTAGAGTTTAGATATTAAGCATGAAACATCTTTAAGTAAATATCTACAAAGTTTGTTCAAATAAAAGCCCGGGGGTCAAAACTGGCCCTGCCCCAGGGGTGTCATTGTTTTTAACTATATGTGTATAGTAAAAACTTTAAAAGACTTCTTTTAAAAAACCCAATGAGCTAGAACTTAGATGTTTAGCATGAAACATCTTCTTATGGGTGTCTACCAAGTCTGTTCAAATAAACAAATAAAAGCCCTTGGGTAAAAATTGGCCCGGGGTGGGGGGCCTATATACAGATGAGCGACCTCAGGGCCATCATGGCCCTCTTGTTACTTTTTCTAAACGCAAACATAGAAAGGTTTGAACTTATCTTAAGGTTTCCTTTTTGTGTCGCCTCTACGGAGTAGTGGCGACATATAGGGATCACTTCTCCGTCGTCTGTCCGTCCGTCTGTCTGTCTGTCCGTCTGTCCGTCCGTCCGTCACAAAACTTGTCCGGACTACTCCTCATAAACTACTGGTGCAATTTCATCCAAACTTTACAGGAATGATCAGTACCAAGTCTAGTTGTGCATATTATCAGGATTTTCCGGTTCAATGATTTTTGTCAGAGTTATGGCCCTTTAATATTTTTTAATTTTAAAGTTTGTCCGGACTACTTCTCTTATACCACTAATGCAATTTCAATGAAACTTTACAGGATTGATCTGTAGCTCAAGTCTTTGCGCATATTGCACGGGTTTTCCGGTTGAATGATTTTTGGCCGAGTTATGGCCCTTTGATAAAAATATTTCTTTTTCTGTGTGTTGCCAGATACACAAAAGCTTGTCCGGACTACTCCTCATAAACTACTGGTGCAATTTCATCCAAACTTTACAGGAATGATCAGTACCAAGTCTAGTTGTGCATATTGTCAGCATTTTTCGGTTTCAATGATTTTTTGTTTGAGTTATGGCCCTTTAATAATTTTTATTTTTAAAGTTTGTCCAGACTACTTCTCTTTATACCACTAATGCAATTTCAATGAAACTTTACAGGATTGATCTGTAGCTCAAGTCCTTGCACATATTGCACGGATTTTTCGGTTGAATGATTTTTGGCCGAGTTATGGCCCTTTGATAAAAAGGTGTTTTTTTCTGTGTGTTGCCAGATACGCAAAAGCTTGTCCGGACTATTCCTCATAAACTACTGGTGCAATTTTATCCAAACTTTACAGGAATGATCAGTACAAAGTCTAGTTGTGCACTGTCTGTCTGTCAGTCCGTCTGTCACAAAATTTGTCCCAACATGAAATTGGCCATCATGAGGCGACACATGTGATTACTGATCGCTCTTGTTATAAATTTAGTTGGTCTGTCTTGTCACATTAGTTTTGTTTCTCTATTTTGTATATTTTTATGAATAGAAACATTACGCAATTTCTAAAAATAGAAACATTACACCATTTCTAAAAAAAGAAACATTACGCAATTTCTATCAATAGAAACATTACGCACTTTCTAAAAATAGAAACATTATGCAATTTCTAAAAATAGAAACATTACGCAATTTCTATAAATAGAAACATTACGCAATTTCTAAAAAAAGAAACATTACGCAATTTCTATGAATAGAAACATTACGCAATTTCTAAAAATATAAACATAACGCAATTTCTAAAAATAGAATCATTACGCAATTACATCTTACACTATTAAATGCAACAGACAGCTTACTGTATAAAATGCAGCAAAGAACTAACTGCATTAAACGCAACAAACAGGTAATTATATTAAATGCATTTTACTGCTGTCCAATTTAAATGCAACAAACGGCTAATTGTAATAAATACAAAATGTATAACAAATAACTTACTGTATGTAATGCTACAAACAACTAACTGCATTAATTACTATCAATAACAATTCTATTCACACGAAAATTTATGATAAAAGAGATGACTTTGACTTTTGTATAGTTAATTATCCACATTTGGATGGAGACGTACCCCATGCAACATCCTACGGGGTTTTATGTTTCTCTCAGTTAATTAGATTCGCTAGAGCTTTGTAACAACGTAAAGGATTTCAACGAGCGGAATATTTT